TCCTCTGGAATCAGCTCTGTCAGTGAGCATCAGGTAAAGACTTCATGAACACTCGAACAGGTCCTCGTTTAATTTTGATTATTTCAATTTATTACACGGCTCTGTGGAATACTTGATTCTGATTGGTCAATCGCACCATCCAGCGGTAAATTATTCCCACATAACAACCGCCGAAAACAGAAAACACTGGCTCATCCGGGTCACTGAAGTCAGCAGCGCTATACGCTTGCTAGGAACATGTTTTCTTTGTGGAAGTTTTGCATTTGGTGAGCTAATAAAATATTAAAACTCGGTCAAATCAATATTTTGTGCACAGTTATTTAATTATGCCATCCAGTATCGTGGACTCGCTCTCTCTTGTTTCATACAAACGCAGCTTCCGCCATTTTGTGACTATTGTTGTGTACACTGTTGTTGGATTATAAGATACAAACAGATACGATTTTAAAACAGTTTAATCTGGAATCAATATCTCTTATCTCCATTATTATTTATGTGGCGAAATGTTGTGTAATAATAAGCTGTATGACTGTATCCCTTAAATGTCTGTCTAGTTTGAACTTGCCGCACTAGCAACTGCTCTCTCCGCGCAAGCTTTGCGTTTAAAGAGCTAATCAAATATTTCAACAATATTTCGTGTCTAATTATTTACTTAAGTGTCAAGTAGCCGTGTAATAAGCAGGATAATGTACATCCAGCCGGTTAATAAACTGATGTAACCTCATCACCCTGTCGGGGGTTTATTCTGAGATAACAACCGGCTGGATGTACATTATCCCTTACTTATACCATGAAATTGTATACTATTATATTATATCCATCTACACTGGTGATTGTCAGTTTGATATGAAATATGTGTTATTGATTTCTCTCGCTCTTTCTCTCTCAGGCTGTTGGAGTGGTTGCCAGATATTCAGGAGGATGTGGGCTGGATGAAGGATCAGACAGTGAAGCTGCTGCAGGGTGTTTTATCACATGCAGGGAGGAGCATGTCACAGCAGGTGTCGGCTCGGTGAGAGAACACACACACACACACACACATGAAAACACATGCACAGACTCACAGAGGGCAGGAAGACCTGAAGATTAGATCATGCTAATGGAATAGGTATATCACAATAGTTATGCTTTGTACATTGCGTAACCATGTAGTGATGTGTATTTTTCGACAGTCTAGTGACTTGAAAAGCATACATTTGTGTGTTTACCTAAACACTGTGTTGGTAAAGTTGATATTGTGGCTTTATATAGGGTCAGACACATTATTAACATTTGATCAAAATCACGCTCAAATGGTATTACAAGGTTTTTGACTAGCTATTGTCAGACATGTTCACTACCTTTCAAAAGTTTGGGATTTGTAAAATTTTTAACATTTTTGAAAGAAGTCTCTTCTGCTCACCAAGGCTGCATTAATTTGATTCAAAATACAGCAAAAACAGTAAAATTGTGAAATATTATTGCAATTTAAAATAACTGTTTTTATGTGATTATATGTTCAAATGTAATTTATTCCTGTGATCAAAGCTGGATTTTGTACATTATCACTCCAGTCTTCAGTGTCACATGATCCTTCAGAAATCATTCTAATATGATGATTTGCTGCTCAAGAAACATTTCTGATTATTATCAGTGTTAAAAACTGTTGAATACATTTTTTTTTCAGGATTCTTTTATGATTAGAAAGTTTAAAGAACAGCATTTATCTGAAATAGAATATATAAATGTCTTTACTGTCACTTTTGATCAATTGAATGCATCCTTCCTGAATAAAAGTGTTAATTTCTTTTAAAAACAACTGTATCTTAAACGGTAGTGTATAATGTTACAAAAGCTTTCCATTTCAGATAAATGCATAACATCTAAACTTTTTACACGTTATGGGAAGAAGGAGGCAGGAACCGGCGAACAATCAACAATTTTAATAATAAATAAACAAATATAAAAACGAAAGTAAAGACGGCAGTCGCTCACGGTCGACTGCCGCCACACATAATAAAACAAAACATCAAATAAAATCCAGGCCTCTCCTCTCTCCATCTCCACTGTTCCTCCATTATACTTCCGCTCCTCCGTGAGAGATACGAGACCGGTGCGTCTCACAGGTGTCGCTCATCAGTAATCACGCGGATACCTCGCGCCGTCCTCCCGCGGCCCTCGACCTCGTCCTGCTCGCCACATAATTCACCATCTTTTAGGATTTTTAGAATTATTTTGACAGGAAAGCAGGACAAAAATGGTGATAGAACACCTATAAAGTTATCTGATTTTTTCACATTTTATGTTTGACTAATGAAACTTCTCGGAATTCCAATAGCAAATTTCTGTCATTTCAAATCAAATTCCAAATACACTCAATGGGTCTCATTCATGAAACACGAGCAGAACAAATTTTTGTGTAAATCGTGTGTAAAGTGGTTCTGGCGTAAATTTTCCGATTCATTGAAATGTTGGTATTTTCCAAATGTTAGTTGGTACGAAGGAAATCTCCACCTGCTCCCAGCCACGCGTAAATAGTGCGCTTAACACCCGAACGTTTTGCTCATTAATAACTAAGGCTGCATTTTAATTCCCCTTAATCGGGTGCATATTTACACAGCATTTTGAAAAAATATTATATATAGTAATTACATACGGTTTTTCTTTTTACTTCTGGGACTGTTTGATTAACAGATGAAACTCCATTGACTGCATCTGTAATATGCTGCCAAGCTTCCTTTTTTTTAGGACCTGATACACCACCTATGCTTGAAAATAAAATGTGGTGTTTTGAATGAACTTCTGATAACAAAACTTCGATTTCTGCATCTGAGAAATTTTTCTTTTTCATTCGCTTTTGAGAAGAGTTGTTGAAATCCTTTGTTTGGTGTCATAATATGATGCCCATATATAGCTGTCAGTGGGATTTAATGGGCGGGATTTATGGTAATTGAGAATGAGCGTGCACGCGCGTCCCATTTACGACTGATTGGAATTCATTAACACACACACACATTTCACTATCACATCTGACGTTTACGAAGTATTTGTGAATCAGGAGATGAGTTTTCGGGAAGGTCTCTTTACGCGCAAATAACTCGCATATTTACTCGTATATTTACGAATGTTTCATGAATGAGACCCTTTAACTGAAAAATGGAGCCAATTCTAAAACACTAGGCACTGATTAATACACAATGTTCTCAAAAATACTGGCCTAAAAATATAACCTGAAGCACTTATTATTTCTCTCTCTCTCTTCTCTCTCTCTCTCTCTCTCTCTCTCTCTCTCTCTCTCTCTCTCTCTCTCTCTCTCTCTCTCTCTCTCTCTCTCTCTCTCTCTCTCTCTCTCTCTCAGATTTTCATATCAGCTGGAATTGAAACATTCCCAGTCGGTCCCGTCCAGCTTTAGTGCGTCTCGTCTGCTGCCAGGCTGGGTCTACGGGGGCAGCTCGACAGTCCTGGACGCCATGCTGCGATTGGACCAGTACCAGCGCCAACTCCTGCCAGGCCTTTTCTGCGTCAACCTGGACTTCCGAGGGTCTTTCACCACCAGTTCGGCCCACCCCAGTGCCTCAAGCGCCCAGAGCCACCAAGAAGCAATGGAGGGTCTTACCATGCGTGCTCTCGGAGCCCCGAACACCAGCCTGCTGCTTTAACCTCTGGGCCTGAAAGACCATTATATCCCACAATGCACTGTGATGATGCCTAGGAACTTATGAGTCAAGCGTTTCAGAATGCATCAGCAAAAAGAAAGCAAATTTTTATCTGTGAGAAGCATGATTTGATGTGAAGAGCACATTCTGAATCGAGACAAAAAAAAGAAAAGCTAATTGAGAACTTTATATTTATTCACAGCCTGAGAAATGTATCTGGAAGAAATGCTGCATTTCAGAGTGCAACTTCATCAATGTTCCTGGTACAATTGAAGCTTTTTTGACATAATATATATATTGTTCAAATTCCTCTCAGAATGTCCTTGGATGGGTGTTGCGTGTCCTGGTTCATCAGTATTTATGTTTTGAAGGAGGTTCGGCGCGAGTGTGTCAATCTCAGTTGCGAACCTGAAAAAGTAAAGCGGTCTGTATTGAAGGTGATCTACTCTTTATGTCTGAAGGTTTATGCATGTAGACTGATTAAAAGCAAACATGTGACCATATGTCCTGGCAATGCAACTATCAATGCTGCTACCGTACTGTACTCTACTGTCATGTGTTTGTGTGTTAAAAAGCATGTTTCTTGCTACTTTTTGTATGGTTTGTGCCTTATTGATTGTCGGTTTTTTGTAAATGGTTGCCAAACACAGATTAAGGTTAGTGCTGGACTGAACTAATCTGTTAATCTTTTGTAAATGCTTCAAAATCTGGGATTTGGCTCTTAGTGTGAGCCAGACAGTAAAGTACACCTCCTAATCTGCACTTGTGCTCACATATCAAGTCATTAGTATTCTGATGTATGTGTTTAACAGACCTAATAAAGTTTTTGACATAAAATTCAACTGTTTTATTTCAGAAGTACTCTTTTAAAATAATGATTCTTCATTTTTCCCAGGATATTAAGTTCAGCAAAGAATAATCTTGTCTCTTTTTTTCAACTTAAAAAAGGTTCTGCTATCTATGGCACAAAAGCAAGGTTCTCCTTTGCCATCAGACATTTATTTTTTAGGAGTTTGTTTTATTTTGTCATATATTTTTCATTGCTTTTCCAAACTACGTGTCTGGGGAACGTTTGCAAAGATCTTCTGACTTTTGTAGGTAAATAATAGGTATCTGCTACGCCTGCATGCCCGACAGACGGTTAAGTTTAAGTGCGTGGGAGTTTACTGCGTCATCATGGCCATGCGTTTCTATTGGCTGATGAACTTGCGCACAACTCTCTTCGTTACCGGCAGAGGGCGCGTTTTGTTCCTCCTGTTGCGCCTCTCCTCCTCTCTCTCCGGTCTGATATACTATTGGGGGGTCCGATTCATTTGAGTGAATCGGTTCATTCGGATAATTCGTTTCAATGAACACTCCAGTTATCTGGGCATTTGATTGTTAAGTTAGCATGAAAAAGACAACTTACTGATCTACTACTTAAGCTTATTATTATTATTATTCTTAGACTAGAAAAGTATAAATGCTACTCCTCCTAGACTTTTCAAGCGACATCCACCAAACTCAGACTAGACCTTCAGACTGTTTTGACTTGTGTGTGCTAGGTATATCTTTTCAGACTGTTCCAACTAACGGTTTCCCTAAAAATGACGATCAAAACTAGTCTATGGAAAAATACTTACATTACATTGACTTACATTGACGGAAATGTTCGACTGTTCAAATTTTGACATTTGGAGAGGCTCATTATACACTCATTTCATTTACATTCTCTATCTATCTATCTATCTATCTATCTATCTATCTATCTATCTATCTATCTATCTATCTATCTATCTATCTATCTATCTATCTATCTATCTATCTATCTATCTATCTATCTGTCTTAGCTAGCTAGCTTTAAAACTACTAAACTAAAACTTTAAAACTATTATAAACTGAAAACCTTCAAACCCTCAAAGCTGTAAAACTTTCTGTCTAGGCTTTTTTTTTAAGTCAACTTCAAAGTTTGTCGACAAACTTTTTAATCTAATTTTTGTTGTTGTTGAAAAATTGCTATGTTTTCGATTATTGATTTATTATTATGTTTATATGGATTTATTGTACTACTTTTAGGTTCGTCTCAACTGAAAAAAAAAACCCGAAACGAAAAACAAAACAACAACAGTTTTTATATATATATATATATATATAAAAAAAATCTATCCTCTCGATTGATTCACAACCGTATCGGTTCGAACGAATCATTACAACGAATCGGTTCAAACGAACGAATCGTACGGGAATCGGACATCACTTGTCTGATGAACTGAAACTCCCCGGGAGATACCGAGGGAGGAAGATGGCGGCCACTGACCGTTCCCGGTCCGAAGCGGCGAAGCAGCGGCGGCAGGATCAGCTGCAGCGGTGGCAGGGCTCGGAGACGGACCGGACCGGGGTGGAGGCGAGGATCCTGTCCTCGGCTCCCGGAAACCGGCGGGCCCGAGTGCGCTTCGCCCAGGGCGCTGTGTTCATGGCCGCTTGCTCCGCCGGAGACCGGGAGGAGGTGGCGGAGCTCCTGCGACAGGGAGCTGATATCAATCACGCCAATATAGACGGGCTGACGGCACTGCATCAGGTATCCGGATCGTGTTTGATTGTTTACACTGACGTTTGACTCGGTTTGGAAACTTTTGAGAAAGTTCACAAACTTTTCTCTACGCCTTTCTCAACTCATAGATCGATGACAAGCAAGGATGTCTTGAGATGATGAACTTGAAAAAACTAGTTTAAAATGTACCTGCCAACGGTTTTTTTATATTCATATTTCATACGTTTTTGAAAAATAACATTTAGGCCTATAGCCTATAGGCTACCATTTAAAAATCGAAAAATGTCAAAGTGATGGCCAGGTAAAAAATATTAAAATATTGAAATAGCCTACATGGGTGTGTACGAAATTTAATTATTGTTTTTTAAACATATTAGAGTCATGATTTAAATAGATTTTAGTGTACGCAATTTGACGCCCCAAAAACATGCCTTTTCATAAAGGAGTCAGGATATTATTAAAAAAATTTAGTGTCTAAAGGGGTCATCTTTGTTTTGAGGGCTTGTCACATGATAAAAAAAATGGCTTCCACCACACTGACTTTGATTTGGCAGATTATTAATATTTTGAAAGAGTTTTTAGGATTTAATATATATAAAATATTATAAACTACTAAAGACATTTTTTGTTTTCAAGAAAATCAGTGTTTTAATAATCCATTTTTCCTCTGCCAGTTATACCACCTAGATATTTTTGATTAAAATCTGAACTGAAACTTTATTGCAAACTGTACAAACTCCTAAAGTCGGCATGAAGCGGAAGTTGCGATAGTCTTTTCTTCCCCGTTGTGATGTATATCTGAGTGAAACGGCTTCTGGAACAAGAACAAATGTAGGGCGGGGCTTGATTTTGTTCTCAGGGAATTGATTGGATGGTTGTGATTAGCTATTGGTCGATCTCATGTTGCCCCGCCCTCACGCCAGTAAACGCATCATCAGAGAAGAGATGTCGCTGCAAGAGGAAATTATTTGAATTAAAGATTACGATGCATATAAACAAAATAATGATGTGCACAGATGAATCATTTATAATAGATAGAGCAATATTCCATAAATAAATAAAAAAAACCGAATTGTCCATTTTGATTTCATGGTGTCTTTAAATAGCCAAAGTCAGAAACACACAGGCTTTTTTGGGTCTGAATGTCAAAATGTTATTATAATAGACTGTATTTCCAGCACAGATGTAGTTGTAGCGGTGTTGTTATGGTCTTGGGCCAGAATTGTGGATGATGATGAATCTCATGCCTTGATCTGGACTTTTTTATATTGACTATATTGACCATTCTGTGTTGTTTGCGAGAGGTTCCTACAGTAGCAGGGCAGCTGGTGTTGTTTTAGTGACGTCCAGGGAGTGTCTCGGGCCCGTCCCGTGGCTGTCATGTTTAATGTGGCTTCTTCTGACTCCAGGCTGAACTGGCGTAGCAAGACTTTCCTCATATCTTCTGAGCTTCTTCACGGCTGGGTGGAATTCCTGTCGGCCCTTTTCATTTGGTGTTTGTTTTTGTTTTGTTCTTTTTTCTTTCTTTCTTCCTCTCAGCTGTGGATGTTTTTTTTTTTTAATTATATGTTTAGGAGGGGTTATTTTCGACTTTTGTTGCTTCAGCCTTTTGCCTCAACAGTAACGTTTACTTGGAAACCAGCTAATCCTGAGCTTTAACTGAGAAAAAGACTATTCTTCATAGTCAGCAAACAATCATAGTGTGCTTGGGGTCATTGTTTTGTGGATCTTTGTCTTCACTTGTAAAAACAAAAGTTCTTTATTGGCATCGATGGTTCCATTTAAGAACCTTTAACATCCATGGAATCTTTCCATTCCACAGAAGGTTCTTTATAGTGGTGAAACATTCTTTAGATTATATCAAATGTTCTTCATGCTAGCTTGAGAAGCTTCTGTTGAAGAGAGCAACTCAAAAGGTTTTGCTCAAATACACTCCAGTCACTCCAGACATGCTTGAAAATATGAAACGCATGCTTTTTTTGATCCAGACAGGTGGTCGTGTGCGAGCACAGCTATTGGCTGGAGGCTCTGCTGATGTCATAGCTTCAGTTCTGTGGAACATCAGCTTTGATTCTCTTTTAAGTGTCACCTTACCTTGTGTTTGCATGAATTCCCTAATGTGGCACAGAAAGTATTTTTTGTTTGGCTGTTTATGTGCCAGGAACATGTTCAGGTCACATTTCACCCGAAGTAGAAGGAAATAATACATTATACTACAATAAATTATATATTGCTTAAAGAAAAATTAGGCTTTTTGAAGGACTTTTAATATTTAAGAAGTCTATTTTTTCCCCTCAAATGGGAAAACTGAAGTTCTATAATGCAAAAAAATAATTGTATTGTATATTATTTAAATTGTGAAGTGTTCACTCAGAATGATAGTATATATTTAATTTAATTTAATATGGTATATATTTTTTTATACAAAAATCATTGCAAAAAAAATTACAATGATTATTACAGTAAATTGTAAATATTTTTTATTTTAATTTGTTATATGTAATTTAATATTTAACTTAATGTGAAATCTAATGGATATATATTGCACACACACACACACACACACACACACACAGTAAGAAGATAATAAAAAAGAAATATAGACTTCTTTGATGTTGAGGTGAATATAACCCAGACATGTTTCCTTGAGATTGTGGGAGTGTTGAAATGTGACAAGGTTTTGTTGTTTGCTATTTAAATTCATGTTTAGTTTTGTAACATTTCTGCATTCACTAAATGAACTACAGGAAATATTGAGTGTACATGTTAGGTGTGTGAGTCTTTCTGTCGGCATATCTTAGTGTTTACTCTGTGTTGCCATGACATAAATATGCATAATTGTATGAGTGCATAATACCACATGGATACTAACTGTTACTTGGATTGATATTTTTCTGGGAACACACAGCCTACTGGTGTGTGTGTGTGTGTGTGTGTGTGTGGGGCTCTGGACAGAATCAGTGTCACATCCTGTCAAAGACACTGTTTTGGACTCTACACACACACACACACACGCACACACACACACACACACACACACACTCCGTCACAGATAGAGTTACAGGGATGGTTTACCTTCTAATGGTGCTAAAGTAAACAGAAGTCCCGTACACAGACGGACGGAGGGTTGAGCAAATCTTCTCTTTTAAAGTTGCCTCAGAAGAAACAACATCATAAGTCAAACCTCAAATGTTTAAAGGGGTCGTTACATGGATTTTTTAATTTTAATATGTTCCTTGAGGTTCACTTGTGTTAATGTGTTAAATATATATATATATATTTTTTTTTGTGCAAAAAGCTTTAACTTCACTCTGTTGCTCATCCTAAATGCTGATTGGATAATACACCGTTCCTTCCTGTTCAAAAATATTCCTTGTTTTATTCATTTATTATTATTATTATTATTAGTAGTAGTTGTAGTATTATTTTCTGTTTGTATGGATGCACCAATTTAATGATTTTGATTGATGAGCTGATAATTATTTTCATGTTATGGCTAATAATTACTAATAAATTGCCAATATTCAAGACCTATATTTTTTTTCTCTAAAAAAAAAAGAGTTAAATGCTGTAATCTTGCGTTACATCTTTTAAAGTTAGAGCTAGTTTATGGCAAAAAAAAAAATAACTATGAAAACGAGATTCCACAATGAAAATATATACAATATCAGCAGATTAAATATGAAGAAAAAACAATAAATAAAATGAATTAAATCTAATATTTGATAAGCAATATGGTTCCCATATATTGTAACTGTTTTTTGTTTCATATTTTTGTCTTAATGTTTTGTAGTCATATTTGCATTAGTTTTTTGTTTGTGTAGTATCTTTGTATTGTACATCCATACTCTATTATAGTACGTCTAATTGTTTCACTTCTATATCTGATTTTAGTAACACCGGTGTGTGTGTGTGTGTGTGTGTGTGTGTGTGTGTGTGTGTGTGTGTGTGTGTGTGTGTGTGTGTGTGTGTGTGATGATGCTCTTTCGCTGCTCATCCCGATCTCGGTCCTGTTGTCCTGTTGTTGCTCGGTAACGGGGATTAAATATAGTCGGTGCTCTTTAAGTTTTTCCATCACATCCATCCAGAGCCTTTCTCTCTCTCTCCGCTGTTCTCCAGTGAGCGCATGGAAAACATTCTTCATGCAGTACAAGTGGCTGTTGTCATAGGCAAAGGCCAGTCGCTCTCTGAGTCACACACACACACGCACGCACGCTCACATTCAGTGACCCCGTGGAGAACTTCACACCTTCTCCATACAGAAGGTTCCCACTGTTCCTCAGAATCGCACACAAACACACACAATGAGAACAGAGCGGGCTTCTGTTCTGCTCAAGCGTACGTGGAGGTTTCTATAGGCAGCGCCGGGTCCTCTGGGAGCCGCTCACTCGGGCTCTTGGCCCTCTTTCCCACTAACTTGGCCTGAAAACACACGTTTTATCAGTGGTAAATCTCTGGTAACATGTGGCCGATTTCTGCAGAATCTTAGACATGTTAGAGAAGCTACTTTTAAACACACTTGATTTAAAGTAGCTAAACCGCTGCACTATAACTTACTAGATATGCAGTAACTTGTTAAATAATGTGATGTTCGATATATGCAATACGATAAGTGTGTTAAATAAAACTAAATTATTATTTAAATATAGCCTATTTAAAAACTGAAAATGATATAACCAATGTATTTTTTTTTCCCATTCTATCTGGGAAAAGAAAGCATCATTACAACTTCTGAACAGCATTGCATAAAAAGTAATGTCACAAATTTGATAATGTCATTTTAACATTACTGTAAACAAACAAACAACATTTTAAATGCTGACAACTCAACTTGGTAATATATCAACCTGAAAACTTAACAATCAAGAACACCCAGGTACACAAAAACACCTGAAACTAGCGGTGACTTTATTTGATCTTTTGTTATTAAAAATAAGTACAAAAAGGAAAATTACAAACAATTGGACAAATACAATAAAACAAAGGTACAAATGGGATAAACAGTGTTTTAAGTTGTTCAGGTTGGCCTGTATTAGATTTAACAGTAGCATTCAAGTAAGAAACAAAACCGAAATGATATCAAAGTTCACACCACAACTATAACGATAATGGCACAGAGAAACAATATCATTTTTTTCAGCTGTTGAACCATAAAAACATTGACAGCCAATCAGAATTCATCCTGCTTTAAAGAGCTCGAGCATTTAAAGAGGCGGACGATAAAACTGCAGCACTTCTAATAAACAGAGCGATGTCGTCCGCTGGTGTGAACGCTAATATAATGCTAAGAACGCTAAGAAACCAATTTGAAATGATTCGAGCTTTGTGACATGGTGCATTATCCTGCTGGAAGTAGCCATCAGAGGATGGGTACATGGTGGCCATAAAGGGATGGACATGGTCAGAAACAATGCTCAGGTAGGCCGTGGCATTTAAACGATACCCAATTGGCACTAAGGGGCCTAAAGTGTGCCAAGAAAACATCCCCCACACCATTACACCACCACCACCAGCCTGCACAGTGGTAACAAGGCATGATGGATCCATGTTCTCATTCTGTTTACGCCAAATTCTGACTCTACCATCTGAATGTCTCAACAGAAATCGAGACTCATCAGACCAGGCAACATTTTTCCAGTCTTCAACTGTCCAATTTTGGTGAGCTCTTGCAAATTGTAGCCTCTTTTTCCTATTTGTAGTGGAGATGAGTGGTACCCGGTGGGATCTTCTGCTGTTGTAGCCCATCCGCCTCAAGGTTGTGCGTGTTGTGGCTTCACAATGCTTTGCTGCATACCTCGGTTGTAACGAGTGGTTATTTCAGTCAAAGTTGCTCTTCTATCAGCTTGAATCAGTCGGCCCATTCTCCTCTGACCTCTAGCATCAACAAGGCATTTTCGCCCACAGGACTGCCGCATACTGGATGTTTTTCCCTTTTCACACCATTCTTTGTAAACCCTAGAAATGGTTGTGCGTGAAAATCCCAGTAACTGAGCAGATTGTGAAATACTCAGACCGGCCCGTCTGGCACCAACAACCATGCCACGCTCAAAATTGCTTAAATCACCTTTCTTTCCCATTCTGACATTCAGTTTGGAGTTCAGGAGATTGTCTTGACCAGGACCACACCCCTAAATGCATTGAAGCAACTGCCATGTGATTGGTTGATTAGATAATTTCATTAATGAGAAATTGAACAGGTGTTCCTAATAATCCTTTAGGTGAGTGTAGTTATTGCTCTTGGTGTGAACCGGCCTTATCTCAGCTTGCTCAATACAGTGTGACGTTTGAAGTGGAGATGTCGAGTTCTGTCAGTGTCATGCTACACCGCTACCGATAAAATAGCTTATTATTGGACCAGCGACAGTATTTTGAAAACACATGAGCTACTGTTAAAAAGTGTAGTGGAGTTAGTATTGCTTCTGTTTTTAGTGCGTTTCTCTACAGCCTGCACATGTACAGTATGTGTACAGTAACGCTTCCATCATGTAGTAATGATTGTTTTGCCTGCAGCTGATGGCAGAGGTCTCACTGAAACTCTGCGGACATGGAAACATAGATTTCCCATCATGCAATATGACCCTGGCTCCAGCAGTGTTGTAAAGTTGATGTCATGATGTGTGTCAATAGAGTTATTCAGACAGTGCGCTGCTGATAAGGGCGACGACATCACATTGTGTTCATTCTTTTACATTACATATGTGTGTGTGTGTGTAATCTAAGGTCAAAGGTTAAGGGCAGTGTTTTCTGTTTGAGGAATACCTGAACAGACTTGAATCATGATGCACAATATATCAGAATTGGCCAATATTAGCAATAATGAAACTGATAAGCATGATGCTTGAATTACTAAAATGTTTACAAATATGTTTAATATTATGTTTCAGGATAGTCTAAGCCAGTGTTTTTCATTTATTTATATACTATTATTATAGGTTAGGGTTATAGTATTATAGGGTTATAGTATTATAGGGTTAGGGTTATAGTATTATATAGTATTAGGGTTATAGTATTATATTATAGGGTTATGGTATTATAAATATAATTTAATACCAAAACATTAACCATTGTTAATGTTTTGGTATTAAATTATATATATTTTTCTGTAATAGTTTTAGTAATTTTGTTTTGTGTGTTTGTCATTATTATTATTTTAAATATATCTATATAGTTTGGGCAATACGCACAATCCTACGCTGAAATGATGATGATGATGATTTATTTGTCCTCGAGAGGACATTTGTTTCCACCATAGATGCGTACATAATACAAACACACATGTATAACATATTAAGAACATGAACATATAAACATCTACAACAAACAACACAGAAAAAAACAACAAGAGAGCATACCTGACGGATCAAAGGCTGATTTCCTATGTATTTAGAGCTTGTGTAGATACAGGACAAAACTCTTACTAAACGTGGCCTTCCTACACATCGGTAACCTATACCTGCGGCCAGAAGGCAGAAGGATAAAATACTTGTAAAGTGGGTGTTCGGAGTCATTTAAGATTTTTTGTGCCTTTCGCAACGTGAATGTCGAGACACTATCCGATAAATTGGGGGTAGGGAGACCAATAATTTTACTTGCTAAGTGAGTTATCTTTTAGAATTTGTTCTTGTTGGTAACTGTAAGTATAAAAAAAAAACCAAATGGCCCCATAAGTAAGGACCGGCTCAATAATACTGCGATACAGAAGCAGAAGAAGACGTGGCTGAACAGACAAGTGTCGAAGTTTACGAATAGCTGTCAGTCTTTGTTGACAGCGTTTGTAAACCCCTAGAGTATGCTGGTTAAAATTGAGATTTTGATCCGAAATAATGGCAAGATCCAAGCCCTGTAACAGCAACAATATTCATCCGGAGCAAATGAAACGAGTGAGTGAGGAGAGGCGGGTTTGTGTGTCACTCGCTCTCAGAGAGATGAGAGAGAGAAAGAGAAAGAGCAGCTTCAGATATTTCAGTATCGATATGTATCGAAAAATCAATATTTTTGACAACACTACATTGCACTTAGTTAATTATTTCAGATGCCTTTTTAAAAGACTATAATTGACAAATATATATATATATTAGGGCTGTCAAACGATTAATCACGATTAATCGCGTCCAAAATAAAAGTTTGTGTTTACATAATATATGTGTGTGTACTGTGTATAATTATTTTGTATATAAATGCACACATGTATATATTTAAGAAAAATGTTATTTATATATAAAATCTTTATATTTATATAAAATATACATTATATATAGGCTACATTCAGTCTATATACAGTATATACATGCAAATATTTCTTAAATACACATGCATGTGTGGGTATTTATGTATTGAAAATAATTATACACAGTAAACACACATATATTATGTAAATACAAACTTTTATTTTGGATGCGATTAATCGTTTGACAGCCCTAATATATATATATATATATATATACATATATATATATAAAATCCACCCTGCCAAAGTGTGTAGTAGGAGTGACTGTGTTACACGTCGCCACTGCTGAAATACACACACGTTTGTCAGGTTGGCGTGTGTTAAGTCAAGCCCTGTATATAGAGATGAAATAGATTTCTCTTTGTCTCCTCAGGCCTGTATTGATGAAAATGCTGACATGGTTCAGTTTCTGGTGGAGAGCGGCAGTGACGTGAACCGAGGAGACAACGAAGGCTGGACGCCCCTCCACGCTGCGGCCTCCTGCGGTTTCATCCAGATCACAAAGTCAGTAACACTTCTCAGCAACCTAATGAGCCGCCCACTAAGACGACATGATGCTGCCTTGTACCTCATATTCATATTGTATCCAAAGTATTTATAAAACATCTAATTGAAAACGCACCTAATGCATCAACCGTGAGTTGAGTCTCGACAGTTTAGAGTTTACCAGGTGTTTTTCTGTGTCGCAGGTACTTGATCGAGCACGGCGCACAAGTGGGAGCGGTGAACAGCGAGGGAGAACTTCCTCTCGACGTCGCTACGGAGGACGTCATGGCGAGACTGCTGAAAGCAGAGATTAAAAAACAGGGTGAGAGACACAAAGCCTGGAACAGAGAGAGACGGAGTAAACGAGCGAATGTGAGATTGTAGAACAACAAAGAAACGCTTTCACCAGTGCTGTTAGTGTTAACTAAATCGATCAAAAATCATTTTCAGTAATGGAAATGAAGTTGAAATAAAAGTAAATACTAGGGGTGGAACGGTACACAGAAGTCACGGTTCGGTTCATACCTCAGTTCAGACATTACGGTTCGGTACGATTTCGGTACAATGGAGGGAAAAGCAAAACAAAAATGCAGAAGGCATTGTATTTTTTAAATAAGTTTTTTTAATAAAGGCATAGAACCAGTTTATTTGTAGTGCACTGACAATAGTTTTATATAATTAGTTTATTAATTAAATTAATAAAAAGACAAAAAAGACCTTGTGATATGTTTGGTAATTGTACCTGAATTAATTTAAAATTATTTTGCTATATTTCAGATCAATATATTTGTTTTCCTTAATTTTAATTAACATTATTAATTGACAATGTAACATTATTCTCTTCTGAATTATAAATAATTGATTTCTGTATAAAATAATACTACCATTAAAAACACATTCGATTTTCTTTTTTTAATCAATGTAGAATGTGTAAGATTAGCGCTCCGAGGACAAGAAATGAAAACCAATGCAATATGACGAATGTCCAAAAGATGGGACCCACAGACTGTTTTGAAATGGAGTCGGATAAATATGTTTTGCTTTTAAAACAGTGTGTGTGTGTGTGTGATTTTGGTTGGGTGACAGTTGTAGGTTACAGTGTGACAAAAGCACAATGTTGTGTTTTATTGCGAGTGTACACAAATATAAGTAAACACTTTGCAGGTTTAATGAACTGAACAAAATGACGGAGTATGTTTTTTATGTTTCCACTGTTCGATCGCGCCTCTCTCTCTCTCTCTCTCTCTCTCTCTCTCTCTCTCTCTCTCTCTCTCTCTCTCTCTCACACACACACACAGTTCGATCGCGCCCGCGCGCCTCTCTCTCTCTCTCTCTCTCTCTCTCTCTCTCTCTCTCTCTCTCTCTCTCTCTCTCTCTCTCTCTCTCTCTCTCTCTCTCTCTCTCTCTCTCTCTCTCTCTCTCTCTCTCTCTCTCTCTCGCACACACACACACTCCAGCATTGCAATCTTGATATCGCTGCCTGTTCATTATGCGGTCACGGTCACACCAAACGCGAATAGAGCGTCAAATTCGCGTCTAGTTCGACGCTAGTCCAAAGTGAATAGGACGCGCGTATAAAGCCAACGTTTGAAGTGAACGCGCGTTCACCGTTCAGAGCTAAGCCGATGGTACAGATTATGTGTCCCTAAAGAACCCGCGTATCTAACAGTAGTTCCGCATTACATTAATTAATTTGCACGCGAGTTTTATTTATTTTTATACCGTGTATTCTCCGTGTAAATTCGTGCACCGAACCGTGACGCCCGTACCGTTTCGGTTCGATACGAATACATGTACCGTTCCACCCCTAGTAAATACTATTTATTAAATTAATAAATATTAGGGATGCACGATATTGGATTTTGGCCGATATTCGATATGCCGATATTTTCAAACTAATTTTGCCCGATACCGATATATTTGTATTTTTTTTAAGTGCAAAAAAGGCTTATTAAAGCTTCTATTAAAGTTCTGCAGTGAGTGATTTCCTCTGTGTTTTGTTGTTTTATTAACATTAAAGGGATAATTATCCCCAAAATTTAAATTGTCATCATTTACTCTCTCAAGTTTCTTTCTTCTGTTGAAAATAAAAGTTATTTGGAAGAATGTGGCTAACCAAACAGTTTCTGTACTCCAGTGACTTCCATAGTATATTTAAGCACAAGAAAGAAATGAATCCAGGTTTGGAACAACATAAGAGTGAGTAAATAATGACAGAATTTTTATTTCTGGGTGCAGTATCTCTTTAAGGACAAGCGGCAGCATATTATTACTGTCTCTTTAAGAACTGCACGCGACGCGTCTAATATACACACATTTGACAAGCAGATTTTCTCTGTTTGCTTTCACTTTAGACATAACCAACTTTATGTAAACCTTGTGTGTATTTGACAGTATCAGCGCAATAAGACTCGAAAGATTAGTCCAGTATGCAGGCGCTGTGACAGGGTTTAGTTCCTGTGAGCGTCGCGTGCAACGCGCTCAGAAAAGCGCATGTTAGAACAGCGCATCAGCACGTGAATGACATGTTTAACTAGCAAGACTTTGACGCACATGCAAATAATGAACTTTTGTGATTTGCGGTGTCCCGTGAGTGTAACTCTACCTCTGCGTTTACATGTGATGTGATGAATGTGCGTCGCGTTGTACAGTATGTTGAGATGAAGGCGCCCAGACTTGAACTGATAGAATGCACGATACTATGATTTTTCTTCAAAAGCAGATCGTGGAGACATTTTAATCGTCCACGATCAAAAACCGCGTGAGTTGGACACCCCTAGTTGGAAGTTTAAGGCCCCATCCACACTACTGCGTTTTAGTTTAGAAACGGAGAATTAAAACGAATACGATCTCCGTCCACACCAGCGTTTTAGCTGCGTATTAGAATTGATCTCCGTCCACATTAAAACGACTGAAAACGCGGATCACGTGACCATTCACCAACACTGGGTATGTGCGTGCCGGTGTAAACACAACTTCATTGCTAAAATTATCCCACCATGCTCTGGGTTAACCCCAAACCGACGCTCCATGTACGGTCAACGCCGCCGCTGCACACGGGAATTGTCACAGATCGCTCGAATAATAGCTTGACTCCGGCGCATGTAGGCAGTTATAGCGCTGTAAAATGCAGAATTTACTTGTACAACAGCTGCTAGCAAAGATATACGCCATGACTGATGACACCCAATCATAGAGCCGAGCGTGAGCCTCTACTACGTCAACGTTTCTAAAGTCCTCCGTTTTGACCCTTCTACACTAAAACGCCCTCCGGAGATTCAAAACGAAAAACGGATCGGCAGCGGTTCTAAACTTCTCCGTTTTGGGTCTCCGTTTTTGCCGTTTTAGTGTGGACGGGAGGTGCAAACGTAGCAAAAGGTCTCCGTTTTTAAACGAAAACGCAGTAGTGTGGACGGGGCCTCAGTTGCTGGCGCTCATGCTTCGTTCACGGTCGTCACGTGCGCATAGGAAACACGCCACCCTAATAAAAAATAATACAATAAAATATTTTTTTGCTGCGATTTTAGCCACAGCTTCAGCATTTATTTATAGTGTAAACTTCAATTTTGATTTCATGTGGACTTTAAGAGTTAATGCACAGATCCAATATAATAATACATATTATTTTCTTTCTCAGTCGTTAACGTTCACGTAACATAAGCGACGGCACATTTGCTGTGTAAGCATTAATCCTAAAAATTGATTTAGATGTATATAATTTCTACTTTTTTCTTTCGATTTTTGATAAAGCAATGCAATATGTCTTTGTGAGGTTAGTAGGTTTCCATTTGAACAAATATAGGTTCACATTATCCGTCTAAAACACTCCATCTGTCTGATCTTGACCTGCTGTGCCTGATCCCATTAAAACCTTAGTCGACACACAAACTCTCACAGAAGCTCATTATAGATGTGTGTGTGTGTGTTTATAGGATGTTTGGTTAACAGTAACAGCATGTGAATTTCCCACATCAAAAACGCCATTATAAATGCTGGAGCTGTGCAGAGATTTTATAAACTTCCTTCTGTGTGTAAATGTGTCCTTGGGTCCTTAAAGTCGACACGAAACACAAGTTGTGATAGTCCTTTCTTCAGTATTGAGACGTACTGTATATCTGAGTGAGACGCTTCTCGAAGGGCGGGGCTTGATTTTGTCCATGGGGAATTGATTGGATGGTTGTGGTTTGCTATTGGTGGATCTCATGTGAGTGACAGGTTGCCCCGCCCTCGTCACCAGAGAAGTTATTTTGATTAAAGATGACGAGGCAAATGACTTAAAAAAAAAAAAAAAAAAGTTGTGCACTGATAAATAATATACTATATATATAATAATAATTTATAATAGACACTGCAATATTCCATAAAACAAGAATTGTGCATTTTGATTTAATGGTGACTTTAAGAACGAACTGATCTCGAACCAAATCTCCTCCTGTAATATATATTAATATCATATACTGGATCTTTAAAAATGTCCTGTGCTGTCTGAGAAGGATTATAATCCTGGTTTGAATGGTTTTTCAGGTATTGATGTGGACCAGGCCCGGAGAGAGGAGGAGCGAGTGATGCTCCAGGACGCCATGGCCGTGTTGGCAGGAAGTGGCTCTCTGGTCCCTCATCTGAACACTCAGGCCACCGCACTGCATGTCTCCGCTGCTAAAGGATACATCGAGGTGTTAAAGTGAGTGCTCCTTTCACTGAGACACTTCAAAGGTGTCAAACCGATATTGTTGAAAATGAAACATTAAATTTCTAGTGATTTGCCTCACCCTCTCCAAAGTTTGCTGATGCTTTGATACTTTCTACTGTATATGGAGCTTAAAGCAACACACACTGATTGTTGGGAATGACACACTGTTGATGAGTGTGTCTGTATAAATACACTGCGGTTCAAAAGTTTGTCATCTGGAAGATTTCAAAAAAAATGTTTTTAAAAGAAGTATTTTATGTTCACAAAGCTGCATTTATTTGATCAAAAATACAGTAACTTTGCAAAATATTATTAAAAATGTAAATATATTTTAAAATGTAATTTATTCCTGTGATCAAAGCTGAATTTTCAGCATCATCACTCCAGTCTTCAGTGTCACATGATTCTTCAGAAATCACTCTAATATGACGATTTGCTGATGAAATGTTGAATGTCGTATTTTTATGGAAGCTGTGATACATTTTTTCAGGATTCTTTGATGAACAGAAAGTTCAAAAGAACAGCATTTATTTGAATGTTTATTTGTAACATTATGAATGTCTTTACTGTCTTAGTTTTGTTCATACAACTAGCAAATCAGAAAGACTATCTTCCTGTGAGCAATTATGATCAATCAATTAATGATGATGAATTTTTAAATATAAATTCAGAATCGTTTGAGAAAGCATCTGACGTTTTCTTAGCCGTCCTTCCAAAGCCTTTAAATCTTAAAGGGATACTTCAGGATTAAGCATTAAGCTTTGTATTAGTAGGAAACCTGTAGTATTTTCAAATTACCGTGCTTTCCACCCTCATATCCCCCTGAGACGAGAGATTTATGTATTTATTTGTCTGGAAAAAATCCTCCGATGACGCAAAAATCGTCATTTTGCGTCATCGGAGGATTTTTTGGCCAGAGGCTAAAGACTACAGCCAGTAGTAGGTGCTGTCCCGCATGTTCTCGACCCGCCCATAGAGGCTGGGATCTCACTCACAGAATGTACACATAGTGTCAGACATCTTTTTTTGGAAGCTAAGCTAGCAGGCTCTTGTTCTGTGGAGAAAGCTGAGTAGTAGGGGTTACCATCCGTACCATGTCCGGCCGTCGATGTCCGGGATTCAGCTTTTGCTTTCTGCAGTCGCCATTCATTGTTTACATGCACACCTTTTGTTTCAATCTAACTGAATTCATTCCGATTGGTGAGTCTGAATGTAGTGTTTACATGAACGCTAAACAAGTGATCGGTTGATGTGCGTTTTAACATTGCTAAGAAAATTCCTGCTCCTCCGTGAGAGATACGAGTAGGGCTGGTCCGAATACCATTTTTTGAGCTTCGAAGCTTCGGTAGTAATGAACATCGGAATCTCTATATGTCTGTCTGTCCGTTTGCATTTTGATTATTTCGAGAACCGTTCATCCAAACGACTTCACAAGGGAGTGCAGTGTCGTATTTGGTGCAATATAGATAGACAGGCTAGACGCGACACGTTCAGAATTAATCAACTTTTAATAAACTACAGAACAGCGCGAGCGGGACGCGCGTGCCTCACGGGAGCAGGGCTTATATGCTCCGAGAACGGACACTGCACTAGTGATATAAAACACACACACAGGTCTGTTAACTTAAGCAATATTTTTAATAAGGTAGTCTGATATTTTTCTCACTAACAAATTACTGACAAAGTAGGGTAGATTTAAATAAAGAAGCGGCGCGCCTCGCGCGAGCAGGGCTTATATGCTCCGAGAACGGACACTGCGCTAGTGATATAAAACACACACACACACACACGTCTTTTAACTTAAGCAATATTTTTAATAAGGTAGTCTTCTAATATTTTTCTCACTGACAAAGTAGGGTAGATTTTTAAAAATAAAACCGAAATTTTAATAAATAAAAACGGAATTTAAATCAATAAAAACTAAATTTAAATAAAGAAAAACGAAATTTAAATAAAGAAAAACGAAAAAATAAACGTGATGTCCCAGTAAAATCTCAAAGTCTCCTAAATTTAGCTGTAGATTAATTTAGATTGATGAGGGTAAAAAGGATAATACATTTTGTTTCTATCATTCTATGTTCCACAATGTCAAAGCAACGCAGCTTAACCAAAAACACAAGCTCAGGCATGCACTTCTGTCCACACACACTCCGCTGTTCTGCGCTATAGCCAGAGAATACTCCCGTTGCAGGAACACGTTTAGTAGTCCAAGAAGAAGCAAATATATTTATTAAGTAGCCTAGATATAACGAAGTTATATGTTAAGTATTATATTTCACCAGATTTTATAGTGTAAAACATATTCAAGCGCGAATGAGAACCGTTTCGAGGGGGTTGCCAGGTGTGCAAAAAAAACAAAAAAGAAGAATATTCGAATGTCACATTTTCAAATCGAATACCAACACACCGAACGAATATTCGAATATCCGGGTCCAGCCCTAGATACGAGACCAGTGCGTCTCACAGGTGTCGCTCATCAGTAATCACGCCACCGGCCTCGCGTCGTCCTCCCGCGGCCCTCAGTCTCGTCCTGCTCGCCTCAGTAAACATGACTCGTGCCGTTCTCCCGCGGCCCTCACTCGTCCTGCTCGCCTCAGTAAACATGACTCGTGCCGTTCTCCCGCGGCCCTCACTCGTCCTGCTCGCCTCAGTAAACATGACTCGCGTCGTCCTCCCGCGGCCCTCACTCGTCCTGCTCGCCTCAGTAAACATGACTCGTGCCGTTCTCCCGCGGCCCTCACTCGTCCTGCTCGCCTCAGTAAACATGACTCGCGTCGTCCTCCCGCGGCCCTCACTCGTCCTGCTCAACACAGTAAACATGATGAATGGCGACTGTAGAACGCAAAAGCCAAATCCCGGACATTTTGGGCGATCTCGAAATCCCGGGCAGACTCATCACGGAGACTCACTAGTAGCCTAGACTTGTTGTTTAACTACTGCGCTCTGTTACCGGTAGGCGTGGCCTCCTAGGGCAGCGAAGCAAGTGCATTCTGGGAGTTGTTGTCTTTCATCCACATAAGCCAAAAATACATTTTCTGGCTTTTCTCAGTCTAGAAAGCTCCAAATTCAAAAATAATTTCACATTTCTTCTACATAAATGACCCATTTTAAATACACATTCATCTTTCCAGAGGTGAAGTATCCCTTTAATATTTCTCTCTGCATTAGGGTGCTGTTGAAGTGTGCGATAGATGTGGACAGCCGGGACAGTGACGGCTGGACGGCTTTCCACGCGGCGGCTCACTGGGGTCAGGAAGAGGCTTGCAGTCTATTGGCTGAACACATGTGTGACATGAGCGCCGTCAATAATGTGGTACAGGCTCTTTCGTCATCATAAACGGCTTTATTTTGCCATTTAGGCTGAGTGTACATTATACTGCTTAGTAAATACATTGATATGAAATATCATGATTCCAGAGAGCCATTGAATGTATATAACTTGAAAGCATCGTGTATTTGTGCATCATAGGGCCAGACGGCACTCGACGTAGCCGATGAGAACATCGTCGATAACTTGGAGGAACTGCAGAAGAAGCAAAAAGCTGTAAGTTTGCGTGTGTTTATATGTATGCTATCTTATCAGCTGTCTGGTTTATGTTCAAAGACCGCTTTCACTTCAAGCAAATGAGCAGATATCTCCGTCGCATGAACATCCAAAAACAACAGTGTGTGTGTGTGTGTGCTGTACAGAGCCAACGTCATCAAACACAACATAAATGTTGGACTTTGTTTGTGATTCTCAGCATTAATGGCCCTATTAATGCTAAAGCGTGTCCTACTTTATTTCTAGTTGCTAATTCGACAGGTAAAAAAGAAACTTTTGAGATTTAGCCTTATTCATGCTAAAATAAAATGATTAGGGACAGTGTGAGTTCTAGAATATGAATTGTGTTGTGACTGCATTAGTAAGAGCTGCTGTCGGTGTGTTTCACTCCTAAAGATGCGTTCAGAGCTACAGAAGATCAAGCCGCCCGTCATTGACACCAGCCCACCGGTTTCCATGGCACCAGCTCGCCCTCGCAGGTAAACATCACACACTGTCCAATCACGTGTCTGCGTGGGAACACGTCACTTCCTGTGTGCTGAAACCCAGGATCATTCACCATCGTTTCTATCAAAGTTATCTTTCGAGTGATGAAGCAAGTGAATCACTGAATCAGAGATTTAACAGCTGATCCATCATCACACATATATATAGTGAATGTTCAGTACTTCACCCCGGCTTAGAATATTTACATGACATATTCTCAGCTCTCGCTGATTCGCTGTGGCTATATTGGAAATTTGTGATTATTTTATTTAAATTTTGAAGTGAAAAAATATAACATAATTAGTATTATTTTAGTAACGTTGAGATACTGTTATAGTTTCTATTCATATTTTTGAAATAGTTGTTATTTTGATATTTTCCATTTTCACCTTAAACTATATTTGTTGTAATTTTTTTTTTTTTTTGCTATTTTTATTTATTTATTTTCACGTGTCCATATAGATTTCATAAATTTTTATTTGTTTTCGTTTACATTTTTTTTTATTGATTTTATTTGAATTTTGAAGTTAAAAATATATTTATAATATAATGTGATATAATATAATATATGTATATCAGTATTATTATAGTAATATTGAGATACTATTATAATTTCTTTATTTTCCATTTTAGTCCTTTTATTGAGTTTTTTTCTTTCTTTTTTTTTCTTTTTTTATAAATATTTCCATATAGTTTTTTTTTTTTTTTTTTTTAAGTTTTAGCTCTCATTGATTGGCTGGTATGCTGTGGTTATATTTGAATTTTTTATTTATTTTTTAAATTTAAAGTGAAAAAAAAAATATTGTGAAAATGTGTATATATATATTTGTTTTAGTAAAAAAAAAATATATATATATATAGTTTTTATTCATTTTTATTTAGGTTTTAGCTCCCACTGATTGGCTTATTTGCTGTGGCTATTTTTAAAAAAATTCTATTGATTTAATTTGAATTTTGAAGTTAAAAAATAAATTTGGAAAATAATATAGTATAATAATCAGTATTATTTTAGTAATATTGAGATACTATTATAGTTTCTAATAATATTTTGTATTAGTTTTGTATTTGTATTTCCCATTTTATAACAAAGTTTTAGTAATTTCTTTTTTTAATATGTCCGTATAGTTTAGTTTGAATGAATTGTTATTTGAGTTTTATCTCTGACTGATTTGCATGTCCCCCACAGGACGTCCATCTCTCGTATGAGCAGCAGAGAGAAGATCACCCTGCATGAGCGAGAGAAGCATGCTCCGCCCACTCTTCAGACTCCGCCCACAGAAGAGGACGAAGACGAGTCGACGCGCTCAGCCGGCCAATCCAAACCCTCCAGCAGCTCCAGTTCAGAAGAAGAGAGCGAATCAGAGAGCGACGCAGAGTCAGGTGACCAGACCCCGCCCAGTTTTATTCTCTAAATCAAAAATGTAATTACTAAATGACATTAGCGAACTGTTGATGTTTGTGCCTGTCTTTTCAGAAAAAGCAAAAACTCGAGAACTGATCAACAACTTGAACAACAAACGCAATGCAGCGGCCGTAGCGAGCTCTGTGACCAGCACTGCCCTCAACCAGGTTAAAAAGGTGACCCAACCAGAACCGCGTCAAGCATTGAGTTTTCCCGAAAAGTCTTCTTTTTCTTTCAGCCAATATGCACTAAATTTGACCAATTTTGGGGTTTCCATGTCAACCCAATGTTGATTTTCTGAATGAAGGTCATATTTTCTGTAGTACGAGTGCTAATATATACTGACAAATAAACTGATATGGCCACCAATAGGCAATTCAGCAGCCAAAAATGATCATCTGAATAACTAATGATGATAAAATTATCAGTAATAAAACCCAATAATTGTTGTGGCTGTATTTAATAATTTTATTTTGTTTTTCATTTTGAAGTAAAACAAATATAATATAATCAGTGTTATTTTAGTTTCATTGAGATACTATATAGTTTTTATAAATATTTTGAATAGATTTTTAGCCTTTGAATAGTTTTCATTTTAAATTGAACTGAAGTTTTAGTCATTTTGTTTGTTTTTGTAATTTTTTTTTTTTTTTTTTTTTTTAAATGTGTATATTAGTTTTTATTCTTTTTATTTTGCGAACATATTTTTTATTGAATTTCAAATTTCACTTACTCAAATCCCTCCGCCTCCACAATAACCCTGGCAGTCGGTCAAAAAACAAAAAACAAACAAACTTTAAATAAATAAATAAATCCTTAAACATACAGTTCTTTACTTCACACATCTATAGCCTCTTCAATATCTCATTTAACAAATCTCAAGAACTATTCTTTTTATTTTAGTTTTAGTCATTTTAGTACATCAAGTTATTCTAAACAAAAAAGAGAAATGTTACTTTGGCAACCGGCTAAAATAAAATTTAAAAAGTTTTTTTTTATATATATTTTATTTCAGTTAACATTTATTTTATTTCAAATTATGAAAATGTTTTTAATCCATTAATACTTAACAATACATAATAACAACAATGTAATATATAATATTTGAATATAATAAAGAGTGCTCTGCTTTTAGGCTGAACCCGTTCGGGCCCCGGTGACCGAGGCTCCGGGTTCCTGGAGAACGTCTCTGCGTAAAGCGGGAAGTTCTGTGACGCTGGGCTCGGCCGGGGCCTCTGATCCAACCACTGAGGCCCTCAAGGACCCCGAGACCAAACTGGGAATGACACGCTCTGCATCCAGTCCCAGACTGAGCTCAGAAACTGAAAATAAGGTAACACTCATACATATACTGTATGAATGCTGTATGCACAAAATCTTGACATTAAACCACAGTAATATCACTGTAATTATATCAAAATCTAATTACTTTTGCTAGAAATTCAATACCAAAAATGTTCTGGACTCTTGCATTGTCAATATATCTTGACCAAAAATGTGTGCACCTCTTGATGAAAATAAATGTTGTGATATTATTTCCACTTCGGTCTGGACTCGATCCATTGAGGAGTAATTATGATCGGTTCAGAAATGGTCGGGCCAATCAAATTGCCAGGGCGGGCTTTATACGATGATGGACAGATGATCTGCAGTTACGTAATCATCACGTTATCAAAGAGCGCTTGGGTTGAACTGGTTTCCCTCAGAGATGACTGCCGCTGGAGAACTGAGATGTAGAGATTCTGCTATCGCGTCTGTTGTAAAAGAAATCGACAGCGCATTCATTTTAAAAGACGAACAGAGAACTGCAATCAAGGCATTTGTCGATCGGAAAGATGTGTTTGCCGTCCTTCCCACGGGATTCGGCAAAAGTTTATTTTATCAGCTGGCTCCGATGGCCGCTAAGAAGATGGGACGCAATGAAAACCCTGTGGTCGTTGTGGTTTCTCCTTTGGTCGCACTCATGGAGGACCAAGTAAAAGAAGCAACACTCATTATTTTACTACTTCTTCCAGCGTGCGTGCAGTTGAGGTCTGTTGACAACTATGTGTAGCTCAACATACGTCACTTACTGCGTTGCTCTGATTGGTTGTAGGTCTATCCAATTGAGTGCAGAGTTGGTTTTTTACCTGGTTCGGTTAAGACACGCCTCATAATCAAAGCCCTATGGAGCAGTATCAGACTCACATTCTGACTAGACTATGAGTATGACGAAGTCAGGCTAAATAATCACTGCAATAATGATCCAAACAGACTCTTAAGCATTTGCCTGTTTAAATCCAGCCACTTTGTTTTGGCCGGGTAGTGTATAAACTAATATTTGAATGTATATTAGAGAAAAAAAAAAAAAAAAAAAAAAAAAAAAATATATATATATATATATATATATTTGAATGTATTTTGTAAATATTTAATGTTTTGTCACCTCAAAATGATGTTATTTCCTATGTTCAGGAGCCCAGGTTGGCCCGTGTGCAGCCCACCCCGTCCAGGCGCTTATTCAGCATCAGCGACACCAGCGCCAGCACCAACCCCGACAGCTCCAGCAGGTGAGACACACAACTAACACACTGACAATCTCCTGTTTATACACTTCTCCAAGCTCATGTGTGCGTGTGTGTGTGTGTAGCTTGTTGAGCCGGAGCTCTTCGTACACACGCCGATTGAACAGCCAATCCACTGGAGAAGTGTCGGGTCCAAACCCCTCGTTACCTCGCAGCTCATCTTATGGAAGGAAACTTGACGACCCTTCAGTGACCTCTGTAACCACGGGAACCTCTGGACTCAGTCGCCTCAATAGTCTTCTGGCTCAGAGGTTCGTGTGTCTCCGATCGTGCGTGATGTGATCGTGTCTTCCGCATTGGTCTGATCCGCCGTCTCTCTCACAGGTCGGCTCAGGAAGAGGCTGAAAAGAAGGAGCCCGTCTCCAATTCTGTGCCCACGACAACCACATCAGGCGAGCCAGAGACCAAACAGAGACGCAAGTGAGTGTGTGATGATTTATACACCACAGAGTGATGATAAACCTTTTATCCTGCTGGAAAAAACACGTCTTACTAGCCCTGACCCATTTATTTTTTTTAAACACTGAACGATACACTGCCTGGCCCAAAAAAAAGGATTTAAACAGGCAAATGCTTAAGATTGGATCATTTTTGCAGTGATTATTATGTTTCTAGCATGTTATATGTTTGGCAACAGTTCTTCTAACCCTAATTAATGGAGTGTGTAGCTTTTCATCTCTTAAACAACCATGTAGGAAGACACAACATGATCATATTCCAGGATGACAATGTCAAGATTCATCAGACTCAGATTGGGAAAGAATGGTTGTGAGGAGCTTGAAGAATCGTTTTCACACATGAATCGTCTCCTCTGAGATCTTAAATTCACCAAAAGTCTTTGGGATGTGCTGGAGGAGACTCTACAGAGCGCTGGACTCTTGCATTGTCAATACAAGATCTAGACCAAAAATGTATGCACCTCTTGATGGAAATAACATTTATTTCCATCAAGAGGAGCATTAGTTTTTGGTCTAGATCTTGTATTGATAATGCAAGAGTCCAGCGCTCTGTAGAGTCTCCTCCAGCACATCCCAAAGACTTTTGGGGAAGACTATCAGTCACGCTTGTCGCCCTCTCAAGTTGTATTTACCACTGAAGCTCTGGGATAATTCTGATACCGAAGTTCCTGAGCCATAAACATTAAACATGGCGGACGGGAGAACGATTGCTGCTGTGACTGCTATTATTTACTAGATTTCCCCACAGCTGCAACATCGCCTTGTCTCGTCAATTAAGTACTGCATATTTACCATAGATGAACAATCATTCGAAGCGTATTGTATGTTTTTTTTTTTATATAATATCCTGTATTTGATTGAAATTCTAGAATGGTCAGCAAGCGGTGAATGTTTGTGGTTGTCAATAAATGCGATGCGAAATATCAATTTGGCTTTAAAGGGTTCGTTCACCCAAAAATGAAAATGATGTCATTAATGACTCTCCCTCATGTCGTCCCAAGCCCGTAAGACCTCCGTTCATCTTCGGAACACAGTTTAAGATATTTTAGATTTAGTCCGAGAGCTTTCTGTCCCTCCATTGTAAATGTATGTACGGTATACTGTCCTTGTCCAGAAAGGAAATAAAGACATCATCAAAGTAGTCCATGTGACATCAGTGGGTTAGTTAGAATGTGTTGAAGCATCGAAAATCCATTTTGGTCCAAAAATAACAAAAACTAGGACTTTATTCAGCATTGTATTGTCTTCCGGTTCTGTTGTGGATCGGCGTTCGGTGCTGCTGCTGACGTAAGACGCTGCTGACGTGTGTCTGGTGTGTGTGTGTGTGTGTGTGTATTCTGGTTCTGTTGTGGATCCGCGTTCAGTGCCGCCGCTGATGTAAGACGCTGCTGACGTGTGTCGTGTGTGTGTGTGTGTGTGTGTGTATTCTGGTTCTGTTGTGGATCCGCGTTCAGTGCCGCTGCTGACGTAAGACGCTGCTGACGTGTGTCTGGTGTGTGTGTGTGTGTGTGTGTCTGGTGCGCCCGAGCTTCGTTTACAGTCTGAGGGAGACGCACGCTGGAAACAAAACAATCTTCGCAAACATGTCTAAGGATTTCCACACAGAGGAAGACTTGCATTTTTTTCCCCAGCCATATTTATTTGAACCCGAATACACGGACGCACCGGACACACGTCAGCAGCGTCTTACATCAGCAGCGGCACTGAACGCGGATCCACAACAGAACCAGAATACACATACACACACACACACACCAGACACACGTCAGCAGCGTCTTACGTCAGCGGCGGCACTGAACGCGGATCCACAACAGAACCAGAATACACACACACACACACACACACCAGACACACGTCAGCAGCGTCTTACATCAGCGGCGGCACTGAACGCGGATCCACAACAGAACCAGAATACACATACACACACACACACACCAGACACACGTCAGCAGCGTCTTACATCAGCGGCGGCACTGAACGCGGATCCACAACAGAACCAGAATACACATACACACACACACACACCAGACACACGTCAGCAGCGTCTTACGTCAGCGGCGGCACTGAACGCGGATCCACAACAGAACCAGAATACACACACACACACACACACACACACACACCAGACACACGTCAGCAGCGTCTTACGTCAGCGGCGGCACTGAACGCGGATCCACAACAGAACCAGAATACACACACACACACACACACACACACACACCAGACACACGTCCGCAGCGTCTTACGTCAGCGGCGGCACTGAACGCGGATCCACAACAGAACCGCAAGACAATACAATACTGAATAAAGTCCTAGTTTTTGTTATTTTTGGACCAAAATGTATTTTCGATGCTTCAAAACACTCTAACTAACCCACTGATGTCACATGGACTACTTTGATGATGTCTTTATTTCCTTTCTGGACAAGGACAGTATACCGTACATACATTTACAATGGAGGGACAGAAAGCTCTCGGACTAAATCTGAAATATCTTAAACTGTGTTCCGAAGATGAACGGAGGTCTTACGGGCTTGGAACGACATGAGGGAGAGTCATTAATGACATAATTTTCATTTTTGGGTGAACTAACCCTTTAATAAGATTTTCCAAATAAATAGGCGAGAATAAACCTGGTGTTGTCCATGATTCCTGTTCTTTCCGACAACAGAGCACGTGAAGGCCGCATTAGACCAGTTTGGGCCAGTTACAAGATAGTTTTAGCTACATTTGCATTGTTTTCATTGGCTGAAGCTTGAGTTTTTATGTGTGTGTAGGTCCTATCTGACTCCTGTGCGCGACGAGGAAGCGGAAGCTCAAAGAAAAGCCCGATCCAGACATGCCCGTCAGTCCAGACGCTCCACACAGGTCAGCGTGGCCTTATGACCTCCAGTGTTGTTTTTGTTTACTAAAATTTAAAACGATTTTCGTTAAAGGTGCAGTGTGTAATTTTTAGCTGCATCTAGTGGTGAGGTTGTGAATTGCAACCAGCAGAAGTTACGGTGGCCGACAGGAAGTGATGTCGTCGTCTGAGACAGCAGAGAGTAGCCAGTTGAGCAATGAGGTTTCTTTACAAAGATAAATTAAGAAATTATATTTACTTTATTATTCAGTGAAACGATATGTTATTGCAAATATTATTGTTTCTTGTTCATCAGTGTTTTATTCGCTGACTTTAGCTAGCTTCTTTGCAAGAAGAACAACATAGTGACAAAACGAGTTTGTCCGTTTAGGGCCACCGTAGAAACATGACGGTGCAAAATGTTTATTTCGATGTAAGGGTAAGACATGTAAGGTACATGTGTGGTGTGTGTAGATAGAAATGGCTCATTCTAAGGTAATAAAAATATAACGGTTTATTATGTAAGGTCTTTAGACACCACTGAAAACATAGTTATGTATTTGATATTGCATTTCTGTCAACAGATCCTCCTAAATATTACAAAATGCACCTTTAATTAAAATAACCTGACATAAAATATACATATTAGATGAAAAATGTTAAAGAACATTTTCAATGTTGCCTTGGATTGATCTATTTGACATGTAAAGTTTGTTTTTACGGAATATTTAGCAACAGATAAATCTGAAATCATAATGATAGATCTACCTATCGATGCAGCCTGGGAAATTTCATGTGGAATATGTATTAAACAGTCAGTGGGCGGTGTGTCTAAGGCTATATGACCTTTAACCCTGAACTTTGACCTTGACACAGGGAAAACATTTGTGTAGAGCAGTTGCAATTTCACGCAGCTGGAGTCCAGACATCTCCGTGTGACCGTTGTGTTTGCCCTTCAGGGAGTTACTCTCACAGATCTGCAGGAAGCGGAGAAGACAATGAAGACGGAAAACAAGGGAAAGGAGAAGAAAGAGGAGGAGGAGAAAGAAGCGAAGCAGAAGAAGGCAGAGGAAGGGGTGAGAAAGGTTGAGTTTAATCCAAATATCTGTTTGTTCTGCACTCGGAGAACTCACTGATAAACCAGGCAGAAATATTAAAGGTTAAAGGTCAAATGTGTCTCATTTTTGGATGTTATATTACTTTCTCAAACTGGACAATAACTTAATTGATGTGTGTACAGTAGCAGAGGGGGTGAATGTTTGAGAAACCTGTTTGGAAACAATAATTAGCAGTGGTTGATAAGTAATATATGTATATATAATGTGTGTGTGTGTGTGTGTGTGCAGGAGGTGAGCTGGCGCTCTCGTATCGCTAACCTGCAGAAGTCGGATTTGCTGGGACTCACACACCCCCCTGGTGCTCCACGTCCTGACAGACAAGGTGACCTTTCACCTTTAACCCCGCATCACTGGATTTCATTACACAACACTGATATGTTTAGGTATCTCTCTCTGTAACACTTCTTCTACATTGTGTGTGTGTGTGTGTGTGTGTGTGTCAGATGCAGACAGCGCAGCCGCAGACATTGAGGAGCGAGCGAGGGAGCGCAGGAGAGCCAGAGCGAGGAGAAGAGGAAAAACTGGAGAGGTGATGAAGATGAAGACATGTGATCAAAACTGGAGATCAAGAAATAGATTCTGGATTTAAATGTTTACTTCTGTATCTTCAGGGCGATGACTATGATCCCAGTGGAGAGGAGGAGAGTAGTGGTGGGCGGGACCCACAGGTCTGACCAATCAGCATGCACTTTTAATTGATATATATATATATATATATATACTATTTAATGCATGTTTTTTAATATATAATATGTATAAAATATATTTAAATATAATTAATGCATGTTTTTAATTGATTAAAAGTAATATCACGAATATCTTAAAATATATTTTTCCCTCATGAAGTGCTATTACAATATTATATTATGATTGTAAATATTTATTTTAAATATGTATATTACTGATTTAAAATCTATAAATGCATTTTATTATATGTGTATACTTTAGACTGATTAGTATTATTCATATATTTGAAATATAAAATTATATAATACTATTTTAATAAATGTAATTAAATAAAAAATGTAATGTGTTTATTATGTATTATTTAAGTGTCATATTTTTTTAACTGTATGGATTTTCTGTTTTCTTGCTGACATGTTTTGCGTCTCCCTCATGCAGACAGACAGACACGTGAGCAGCAGGTACGAGTCTGACCTCTGACCTTTCACTTTGTTTGATGATGTCAGCATGTGTCCTCCTCATTCTGTCTGTCTGTCTTTTCTTCCTCTCAGGTTTGATTCGGTCTTGAATGACTGTATCACGAGAGGATCGGAGTCCCGGGACTTTAAGAAGGTCTGTAGGGGTTTGTGGTTAAACTGGTTGTGTCAGCAGGAGGTGTGTGTGTGTGTGTGTGTGTGTGTGTGTGTGTGTGTGTGTGTGTGTGTGTGTGTGTGTGTGTGTGTGTGTGTGTGTGTGTGTGTGTGTGTGTGTGTGTGTGTGTGTGTGTGTGTGTGTGTGTGTGTGTGTGTGTGTGTGTGTGTGTGTGTGTGTGTGTTATATGACTGTATCGGTGTGTTTCAGTTGTTTGAGGAGATGTCCAGAGAGAACCGCCGTCTGCAGTCACAGTTATCAGACACACAGAGAACCATTTCACTGACCCGCGTGGAGCTGGAAAAGGCCACACAGGTGCGCACACACACACACACACACACACACACACAAGAACATTGATCAGCTGGATTATCATCATGAAAACTAATATTATAATTTATTTATAAATGTATAAAAACATAACCTGATGTCCATTTGTCTATTTTATTAAATCACTTACTCAATAAATAGAAGAATTAATACTAACATAACCAAATATTAAAGTAAATATTGAAAAATTTGGAAAAGTACAGAGGTGATCAAATGTTAAATAAAACTGATAAAAATAATAAAACTATAAATTATGTTAAAGTTTTCAAATATGTCTTTAGTACCATTTAATGGCATTTTATTAATATATATATACATATTAATATAATATAACTATTATACTATATTTTATATTATATTCTAAAATAAAATCATTTAAACTACTTAAATATACGTTTTTTACATTTAGATTTTTGTATAAATTATATACATACAAGTATATTTATTATATATTATTTTTATAAATATAAATGTATATATTTAGTTATACAAGTTTGTTTTTATATATATATATATAATTAGTTTTATTTGACATTTTATTTTTATTTTAGTTTACAGTCAGATTTTTTCATCATTCAACCTTTTGTTGGTTGTGTGTTACTTCCAATGTCGTAAAGGCAGAATATCTGAATTCCTGAAGACTACTGTAATGTTCATAGTAGACCACACACATATTTTCATATTTGAATGGTTGTACTCAAGGACTGTAGAAAGACTGATATTGGTATATTTTTCTTCTACTATCAGTGAAATACCACTATATTTGACTCTTAACTGTAATTGTGTGTGTTACAGAGGCAGGAGAGATTCACGGACTGCACGGCTCTGCTGGAAATGGAAAAGAAGGTGAGTTTGCAGAACATAAACTCGCTGAAGTAATGAAAAACATATGGAATTGTCCCTGTATGGAAGTTTTCAATCTTATGATGTCATTCCACATGCTTGTTTTCTTTCTGTCTCAGGAGAAAAAGATGTTAGAGAGGCGAGCCGCTGAGTTGGAAGAGGAGTTAAAGGTGAGAGCACATGATCACGGAAGGCTTGTTCTGATTGGCTCTTTCAGTCAGCTCTGCTGCTGATTGGCTTAGAGGCGCCTGAAGCGTTTCTATCCACTGAATTGTTGTGAATGCATCTTTCAATTCTGTATCGCTGAGAGCAATACAGCCAACTCAAGTAAAACCAGTTTAACGAGGCGTTTGCCTTACACACTCACTTGGCACGACACAAAGTCACAAGTAATAAATCATACTTCTGCACTGTTAATGTGAGTTTCTGTCCTAACTAGCTGTGATGTTGCCTGGTTTCTATTTCTAGTTTTTCTCACAGTTAAATCTGATTGGTCCTGCTTTATATAACTGCATAATGCATCAAATACTGTATGTTCTGGCTTTGAGTTTGCAGCATAATATTATATCAAAAACCTCAAAAGCTGAGTTTGAGTGGCCAAACAAAATCATATTTACAAAAGCTAAGATTTAAAAATGTATATAATATAATATAAAAATAATAAAAGCTGAGTTTGAAACTGACAAAGTGGGCAAACAAAAGAAAATGTCAAACAAAAATATTTTAATATTGATTTTATTCATTGTTATTATCGTTAATTTTTATTAATATATACATGACAATTGTCCTTTCTTAGTGGCCAATGAAACCAAATTAATATATTAACATTATTAATATAACTGACATAATTGAGTCTCTGATCAGTGGCCAAACAAAAGTATATTAATATTATTTTGATTCATTATTGTTGTTATTAATATTCATCTTCTTAACTATTAATAATATATCATTAATAGTCTGTGGTCAGTGGCCAAACAAAAGTAATATACTAATAGATAATGTAGTAGTATTACAACATTATAAATATAAATTATTATTAATGTATGTGTGTGTATACACAAAATATAAAATTAAATTAAAAAAATAAATATACTTTTTAATGGGCATAATTGTCTCATTATATTACAATATTATAAATGTGTTTATTTTAAAAATATATATTACTTATATTAAAAGTATATTACTGTGTTCAAATATATTATATTTCATTATTTATATACTTAAAAAAATCAATTGTGTTTATTGTTATTCATTATTATTGGTTATTTTAATTAAGGTTTTATTAACTATTAAAATTATATAATTGACAGTCCCTGGTCAACGTCCAATCAAACTAAAATGTTAAACAACAAGAATATATTAATATAAAAAAATATATATATATATAATATAATAGTATTTACGAGTTTACTACCTTTTGGAGTTTGACAGCCCCTGGTCACAGTATACTTGCATTATTTGGAAAATGGCAGCTTGAACATTATTCAAAACATCTCCTTTTTTTGTTCCCTGGAGGATATAAAGTCATGTGGGTTTGGATCGACATGAGTGTGAGTAAATGATCAGAACTGAACTGCTCCTTTAAATGAGAAAGTCGTCTGCCAGAGGTAAAGATCTTGCGTGCGTCTGCAGGTTTTAGGGGATCTGAGAGCGGACAACCAGAGGCTGAAGGACGAGAACGGTGCGCTCATCAGAGTCATCAGCAAACTCTCCAAATAGAGCGAGAGAAGGACGAGCAGAAGACCGAGAGAGAGAGAAAGAGAAACTCACAACCCCACACACACACACACACACCGACATCCTTCCCGAGAGCCAAAGAAGGGAAAAGAGGAGGAGAGGAACGACAGAGAGGAATGTCACTGTTTGATGACGGGATCTTTTACCTTCCTGCAGGACTGTGTGTGTGTGTGTGTGTGTGGCGTGTTTCAACTTCATCCATGTTCTCAGGAGGCCAACAAGCGAGGAGGAGATGCAACCGAGCTCTCTTTCTCTCTCTCACACACACACACTCGCACTCGTGCACCATGCACATTCCCATAAGCGTGAGCGCACACACTCCACACACATTCCACGAGTCTCAGGCAGCTGAAGTCTGCAGTATTTTTGCATCTTTGCACAAACACACACACACACACACACACGATTGAGAGGTTCTCCACTAAAGGTGGTCTGAATATGCCAGCTCGACAATCATTCGTTGACATTGGTGCAGATTTTCATGCTTGCCGAAAACACGCCAGGCTGTTGTTTCGCAGCTAGTTATGCTATGCATCTTTTTTTAAAAAGCGACACGTATGGCGAGCGATGCGGAAATGTCTATTTTCGTATTTTTTACCCTCGTTTGATCCATCCTTGCTCCTGTCGTCGAGGGCGACGGCTTTTGTTTATTGTGTAAATGTACAAATATTACGCATTTGAACTCCTAACGCTATAAACTGTAACTTGGTATCAGCTCTATTTTCTCCACGTGTTGTTTTTCTAATATATTAAATGACTGTTGGCACTTAATAAAATATCTGTGTTTGTAGCTTAGTGCCTGTTTATTGAAGTTTTACGGTTTCTCTGCTGTGGTTTATTCTGTTTTTTGTTTCAAAATCTTCTTGAACAGCATTTTTGGGCATCATAATGAAGGTGTTTGCAAATATTCGATTATAATGTTATGTTCAGAATTATCAGTCATGTTTGATTTCATCAGGTGAATCACAATGATCGATTTGGTTATTTTTAGCCAAGTTTAAATGCTTGATTTGGAGAGTTTGGCATTACTAACCTTCATAAACACAACCCAACGTTTCATATAAACATTCCGTTTAGAATTTTTTGATTTGATTCAAATGTTCAGCTCGGCATTTTATGGTTTTGTTTGTTCATCGTAAGTGTGCTTGATTGATTTGAACTTTAGATTTTTGCCTATAAAATGTTCGAACATTTTAATTGAACATTTTAGGGAGAATTTATGGACCTCATACACACATTTGTACATTCAATATAGCATTTTTGACCATATGTGTGTGTGTGCACTTTTGATTCGAACTTTCAATTCAGCATTTTTTTGGTCATTAAATATGTTAAAGTAGTGCTGTCAAATCGATTTATCACATCTACCATAAAAGTTTGAAATATATAATGTGTACGTGACACATTATGCAGGTCCTTCTCAAAAAATTAGCATATTGTGATAGTTCATTATTTTCCATAATGTAATGATAAAAATTTAACTTTCATATATTTTAGATTCATTGCACACCAACTGAAATATTTCAGGTCTTTTATTGTTTTAATACTGTTGATTTTGGCATAAAGCTCATGAAAACCCCAAATTCCTGTCTCAAAAAATTAGCATATCATGAAAAGGGTCTCTAAACGAGCTATTAACCTAATCATCTGAATCAACTAATTAACTCTAAACACCTGCAAAAGATTCCTGAGGCTTTTAAAAACTCCCAGCCTGTTTCATTACTCAAAACCGCAATCATGGTTAAGACTGCCGACCTGACTGCTGTCCAGAAGGCCATCATTGACACCCTCAAGCAAGAGGGTAAAACAGAAAGAAATTTCTGAACTAATAGGCTGTTCCCAGAGTGCTGTATCAAGGCACCTCAGTGGGAAGTCTGTGGGAAGGAAAAAGTGTGGCAAAAAACGCTGCACAACGAGAAGAGGTGACCGGACCCTGAGGAAGATTGTGGAGAAGGACCGATTCCAGACCTTGGGGGACCTGCGGAAGCAGTGGACTGAGTCTGGAGTAGAAACATCCAGAGCCACCGTGCACAGGTGTGTGCAGGAAATGGGCTACAGGTGCCGCATTCCCCAGGTCAAGCCACTTTTGAACCAGAAACAGTGGCAGAAGCGCCTGACCTGGGCTACAGAGAAGCAGCACTGGACTGTTGCTCAGTTTTGCATGTCATTTGGAAATCAAGGTGCCAGAGTCTGGAGGAAGACTGGGGAGAAGGAAATGCCAAAATGCCTGAAGTCCAGTGTCAAGTACCCACAGTCAGTGATGGTCTGGGGTGCCATGTCAGCTGCTGGTGTTGGTGCATTGTGTTTTATCAAGGGCAGGGTCAATGCAGCTAGCTATCAGGAGATTTTGGAGCACTTCATGCTTCCATCTGCTGAAAAGCTTTATGGAGATGAAGATTTCATTTTTCAGCACGACCTGGCACCTGTTCACAGTGCCAAAACCACTGGTTCACGAGTTCACACTTACCAATGATCAGAGAATAAAAATGGTTATGCGTATTTGGCGTGCTGTCCGGGGGGAGGGCTCCGAGCTCGGAAATTGGGCCCGAACCCAGAGTACTCCCCCGTATCTCTGTTTAGGAAGATAACTAGGCAAGTGTGAGGAGATGGGGTGGTGGAGGGATGCTGAAAACTGTCGAGGAATATGGGTGGGTTGACTGTGTGTATTTATAGGCTTTATTTGTGCTGATTGAGTGGACCAGTTGATTACTGATTGCTGACAGCTGGCTGACTTGATTGTTTGATCATTAGAACGTGTTCCTCCCGAACCTTGTTAATAAAACATCAATAAATGGTTTACTGACCATGGTATTACTGTGCTCAATTGGCCTGCCAGCTCTCCTGACCTGAACCCCATAGAGAATCTGTGGGATATTGTGAAGAGAAAGTTGAGAGACGCCAGACCCAACACTCTGGATGAGCTTAAGGCCGCTATCGAAGCATCCTGGGCCTCCATAACACCTCAGCAGTGCCACAGGCTGATTGCCTCCATGCCACGCCGCATTGAAGCAGTCATTTCTGCAAAAGGATTTCCGACCAAGGATTGAGTGCATAACTGAACATAATTATTTGAAGGTTGACTTTTTTTTTTTAAATTAAAAACACTTCTTTTATTGGTCGGATGAAATATGCTAATTTTTTGAGACAGGAATTTTGGGTTTTCATGATCTGTATGCCAAAATCATCAGTATTAAAACAATAAAAGACCTGAAATATTTCAGTTGGTGTGCAATGAATCTAAAATATATGAAAGTTTAATTTTTATCATTACATTATGGAAAATAATGAACTTTATCACAATATGCTAATTTTTTGAGAAGGACCTGTATATTTCAAACTTTTATGGTAGATTTTGACAGCACTACTTTAACATTTGAATTGAAGATTCTGTTTAGCATTTCTGGACAATGTAATAATGCATATTTTTGATCACATCCTGCATATAATTCTTTCAGAGAATTTTCAGTTCAGTATTTTGGGGTATGTGCAGATTTGGAAATTTTAGGATTTTTGGTAAACATAAATGCAATCTAGTTTGATCTGAACATTTGACTATTGAGTATCACAGCTGATAAACATTTGATTAGAACGTAACGTTTGGCATATTTATCATAATCTGCATATCTGAACATTTAATTCTGAGTTATTGACCAACATACTTGCATACGTTTGATTTGAAGTTTCAATTCCTCAATTTTGGGCATCATATCTGTGTTCGAACTTTGATTCAAATTATTCGTAATAAGCGCGTTTGATTTGAAGCTTTTTAGGCCATAAAACGTGTTCAAAAGTTTAAACTAAACATTCTATTTAGATCATTCACACATTTGAACATTTGATTTATCATTTTTTAAACCATATCTGTGTAAGAAGTTTCCAATTCGAAATTTTTGGGGTGTTATTTGAACATTCTATAATGAATGTATTGCATTATTTGACCAGCCTGCATATGGTTCATTCGAACTTCCAGTTCAGTATCATATCTGGACATCCAATAGTTTATTTGAAGGTCTAATTCAGCATTTGAAAGTTTGATTAGAAGAATCAATTCAGCCCATCATTCAAAAGTTAATTTTTAGCGGAAGTTATTATAGGTAAGGTATGTCAAATTCTGAGCGGCTAGCGATAGCGAGTTAGCTTTAAAAGCACAAGATCCCACCCTTCCTTCAGAGCGTCTCCAAACCCACGTGACGAGAGACGGCGTTAAACTACCTCATGTCTCACAGCACATAACATTACAATAATAATGAACATAAACAACTTAAAGAGCTCTGAGCTGTACCACCTGACTGCTGAAGGTTCATTTCCCGTTGATAGTGTTGCCATTGAAACGCATAAATTCGAGTTACGATCTGCTCCGAGAATAACGTCACAGGTTTCCATCTCTTCATAAATTACAGTAGTTATGGTGTGTGTAGGTATGAAAATACATACATAGACAGGCAGGTAGGACATCCTATCATTGCTTTCGGACCGAATGCAATGATTGGACGAACATTTTTTGGTCCTATGGCTTCCACAGACGATATATACATATAAATGCATCTAGACCACTTAACTAAGTGATTGCTATCAGGATGTGAAGAGACTTTCAACAAGCATAACAAAAAATGTTTCTGGAACAAATCGCCCTCCCTGCCTTTAAGTTGTCAGTCTTTCGGTCCTTCTCATCATTCACCAGTTCTCCCTAATGCCTGTGTGCCTGTCTACCAGATGTCCCTCATCATCATCAGAGAGAGAGAGAGAGAGAAGAAGAACAGCTGGAATAATAGATCTAACATTCCCACAGAGAGAAGGACAGGAAGTTACAGTAACACTGGACAGTGTGAGAGCGAAAGGCAAAATTATCCATTCGGCCTCTACTTCTTCACCTTGTTTAGAAAGTCGGAGAACAATTAGAGGATAACGGAGAAACATGAGGGGGAGAAAACATTAAAATGAACTTTAGACAAGTGCTGCACGGATCAGACATTTGCCTCTCGTTACCTTTGGCAAAACACTGAATGACCCTTGAGAATGAATGCCATCCTCTCATCTGTTTGTCTCATCTACATATACACTGACAACAAGGACAGTTCCTAATAAGGTACGCAGAGCCAGTCTTGCTGTAAATATCCCCGCGGCCTGAGGGAGAGAAAGAGGAAGGGAGGGCGGGGAGGAAAAGTCTGGAGCGGATGGATTGCGGCCTTATAAGGGTAAAGCTGCTCTTTTCCCAGGGTCTGGAACCCCAAACTCCGGCAAGCTGCCAAAGGGAAACGGAACAGGGTTTGGCGCCATCTAGAGCCCGAGTAGTGTCATGACGTCATGACCAAGAGTTGCAAGAGTTCCATTCGTCATCTCAACATTTCAACGTTTTGTTCTGCGAAATAAATGGACCCTTTTCACATTTTTGTTCAGAAGCGGAAGTCGTCATATAGTTGGGCAAACTTCTATAGTGGTTCGTTTTCACAACTTGCCAAGGAGGAGAAAAATAGAGAGAAATTGATAACGGCAGTCAGAAGAGAAAAATATGTCAATTTTACCGTCACTCCCACAGCCACTGTATTAGAAACAGCGTCAACTATTTATTTAGTTTTTAGTTTTTTTGATGCAATGGTAATATAATACAAAGTATAGTGTTATAAATGTACACTTTTTTTTTAAATTAATAAATATAAAAAACTTTTTAGCAGGATTTACGATGCTGATGACCGTTAAAACCTTACCGTCGTGGTTAAAACGCGTCATCACGGTCTGTTTCTAAAAGGTCCGTTGCAAGAGTTCCATTTCATCCCTTATGTCAACATTTACTTGAAGCACTCTCATGTTTTGTTTTTACAACATAAATAATGGTCATACCTTATGAATTTTGAAACCGTTGTGATCTTTAAGTCAGTGTTTTTTAAACTGGAAAGGGAGTGACGGATGTCCATGGGAAAGTCTAGAGAGAAACTGTAAATAAATGAACAAAAATGAGATTAAAATAAAAAATATTATTATTTATTAATCTATTAAATATATGAAATTAGATTAAAATACAAAAAATACAAAATTGATATATATATATATAAATTAGATTAAAATTAAATAACACATTTAACAGTGATTTACTAAAGTGAGTAGAAAAATATAATAATGTAACTTAATAGAAACTAACATTAGATGTATAATATACATTTTTCTCTGTATATAAATTGAGTGTTTATAAAAGATGCCTTTTAAATTTTATCATATTTGGGGGTCTGTGAAATTTAAAAGATGCTTTTCACTCCAGAAGCAACACTGGCTTCTTACCTCCTGGGGTTTCAGACAACAAATGAAACAGCTCTGTAGTCATGCAGAACTAAACTACGACTGTAGTCAAGTCTTTAGTACAAGAGAGCGTGACTAACAATTTAAAAGAACCGTAGCAAAAAATAATGAAAAACAACTTATCATAAAACTATGATGTCATACGACGCATTTAAAAGCAAATCGCTTTAGTAAGGCAGCCTTTGTATTATATCGCAGGATTCTTCGGAGACTTTTCTTCACTAGAAAGCCATTTCTAATATTCACCCTTTTGTATTTTAAAAAGGGAATTATTATTTAGAGCCACGTGACGTACCTGACCAATCAGAGACGCTGATCGAGCGCAACGCCCCGCCCTTTCTAGTGACGTTACTGTTGCTCCGCCTCTTCTTTTTGTACGTCCGCTTCGATGAATGAGATTAGAGACGCACAACTAATGTTTGATACATCAGTAAGTACTAAAGTTTTATCATAAAACTTGTTTCTGTTAAATGAGTAGCATCGTTCTTTTGATGGTTAGTCAAAGTGAGTAATTTGAAAGGATAGAGTGAGATCTCTCAGCTTTCTGTTTGCATTGGTAAAACTTTTATTTTGTTCACGGTGATCAAAATGCAGTTGTCACGGGTTTAAAAGGCACCTACAGTAAAAGTATAGGGGTAAAAAACTCACATAATTATGTAAAAAGAAGAAGAAAAAGACCCCAAATAATTCTGAAAGAATGCCTTTTGCATAGATTTCTGTGCATCATTTTAATAATTATGTCTATATGTTGAGTGGAAAATTACCATAATAATGAGAATATTTTAAGAGATTTGCTGAACTTGATATAGTGATGAGGTTCTGTTTGTGATATAATTGTCCGTTTTACTGTTATGTTATGGTTTGTGTCACATGATGTCAAATGGCTTCCTGCATCTAGGTTACACATTCCATCTTTTCCATATGTTTTTCTTTTGACAGACGTCAGAATTGCCCCAAAATGACCTCTGACCCCGTGGACCCGTACATCTTCACCTCTGACTCTCTGCCCTCTGACCCTCGCTTCATGCCACCGCTGGTCAACGGGCTGCTGGGATGGAGAGTGTTTGATTCAATTATGCATATGGGCGGGGTTTATAATGGTGAAGGCGGGACTTGTCACCGTGGCAACATTCCATGTCCACTAGCAGTTCAAATGAAGACGGCAGAAGTGGGACGACACACGTACAAGTTAGACATGCACACAGGTTAGAACACACACACACACATGTAATACTGCATTTAAACATATACTACAAGACTCTCTCTCTCTCTGTATCAGGTATTTTCTCTCATACTGTGGTCACTCCTTGTTTCGAGGCCACTCAGGTTTTGTACGCTCACCGACAGCAATCAAATCTTCTGGTCACGGAAGTTCTCCTTAAGCGCTTTGAAACCAGTGCTGAACCAATCACGATTCAGCTAGAGAGTTCTTTCAAACCCCAAAGTGATGACATTGATTTCCAGAATGCACCAGACTACAAGAGTGGGAGGTACATCCGCTTTATAATATTTGCATTCTGAATGGTAATTGGACTTCTTTTTTTGTATTTATTTGCATGCCTAATTGCAATTGGTGTGTTCAACTTCGGCTGTGGCTGGATTTAACCGATCAACAAGATTTGCAGTCTTGGAAGAGTTTAAAAACGGAGCCGTGTAGATGCATGCTCTCTGCTTCTCATAGTGACGTGATTTCATTTTCTCTAAAGGGAAATTGATTTTTAACTATAACTTTAAAATGTTTAAAGATAGACCTACTGTGAGTTCAGAGGTTTTTAATCAATGGTATATGCTTTGTTTGATGCCATCTGTTTGCATTATTTCAACTTATTTTAAAAATAATGGTTTAACAGCGGAAAATGGAAAACTACATTACCCATAATGCTGTACAAAAATTCCACCAATCAGAGTTGCAGGGAACAAATCACTCAAAAAGAGCTCTTTAGCTCCGCCCACTCCATTGATGCACGGCAAATGACGTAATCGAGTCGATCTCTCTACATTCTCAAAATACATATTTGGATATATAAAAATGCATATTTCACAATAAACTTAAAATATATTATTTACAATCAATAACTTTAAATGTAGGGTTTTATATTTCTCCATTGCTTTTAATTCGATAATGTTGTATGCAATGGTTCATGGGATTGTTGTTCTTTTTCTCATTAAAGCCGTTAAGTACACAGGCTTGTACCTTCATTTTTTTTAGTCCGATCTTCAAATATATTTTTGCTTCAAATAAAACTTTGTAATGTTGTGATTCACCTCGTTGCTAGTTGGCTTGTTTTATGGCTTATGGCTTTAATTAAGACTTTTTTTAAAATTAATTTTGAAAAAAATTATATAAATAAATAATACCTCTGGAACCAACGCCACTGAAGAAGTTGGCAGGCACTAATAGACTATTCACACCTCCTCTCCCGTGGCCTCATGGGATAGTAAAGTGTCCATTGAATGCGCACTTCAGAATCTCGCTGGAAGTAGAAGGTCATCTGGGTACCCTTCGCCTACTTTCTACATAGTACCCGTTTTTCGAGTACTACTATGTATTTGGAGACACTACTCTGTTGGTGCACTGCTTTAGTTGGGAAGTATTCGATTACGGATGCGGTGATTGGCTGTGTTCGAAATCACCCCCTATACCCTCATGCACTATTCCCTTCATCAGTACACTAACTTAATCCATTTGAAGGAGTGATTGAAAACGAGTGTGTGAATTCAGACACTGAGTGTGTCGGAAGGGCTGCCGCTTTTGTATAGTTCCTGCTGTTAAATAATCAACTTGAGGTTTAGCAAACTGGCAGCTCCAGTACTTATGAAAAGATTAATCTTGAGCTCTGTCATGGAATCTAGCATGTATAAACCTTAATTAAACCGTTTAATAAAAAATAAATAGGAATTTATACCTGTGTGATATTACGCTGTACCCACATTGGACCAGCGGTTTGGAAAACGGATGGATGGATGATTCAGATGCGGCGCCATCTTCTGGTCAGACACAGGAATTCATTCAGCACGACCGTCACAGTGCATTATGGGTATTCTCTAGCCGTTGAGCGTACATCGGTTGTACACTCGTCATTGCGGTGCATTATGGGATTGAATGAGTGCACTCGATAACATCCACTATGGTTTCGGACACCACTACACTGCTATCCCCTCAAATAGTGCCATATTTAAGGGTATAGGGGGCGATTTCAGACACAGCCATTGTGTCAGAATAAACACGAAACACACTTCGTCATTGTCGTCTATGAATCCGGCCAAACGTGAAACAGCAGCTGTGTCGTCATCAGAGCTTGTGCAGTCGATCAGATTTCCATGTACTGATTCACGTTATAAAACTGATCGGTCTGTGCAGCGCTGCATGAAGTCAAACACACATAAACACTACATGTGTCTTCTCTTCAGGCATATTTTTGGACAGACCGTCTCTTCAGAGATTCCTGGAGGAGTCCGTCCATTTGTGCACCTGATCTGGACGCCCACCGCATCTACTCTTACCCTCCCACCCGACCAGAGCCAGTCCAGCTGGGTTTTCCTGGTTGCCCTCGCTGGGAGTGACAGGAGCGCCAAATCGTGTTTTGATACTGGTTTGGGGCTTATCGATACTGGTGACTTATGCCCCTCCCACCTGAGGAGTTGGGCGGAGCTCTGGAAGGGGAGCAGCATCGAGGTGATGGGAGATGAGACCCTGAACCGGGCTCTGATTGGCTGCATGTTTTATCTTCTCAGTTCATTCCCATCTTCAATTGAGGAGTCAAGCGGAGCGTCTGTGTTCGGAGGGATCAGTCCGGGGGGTTTGTCAAACGGGAGCAAAGATGAGGATTACCACGGGCATGTGTTCTGGGACCAGGTGAATTTAAAGTCAGCATGAGACGGAAGTTGAGAGACTTTTCTTCTGTATCGTGATTCGTGACGTATAAGTGAAACGGCTTCTAGAACAAGAACAAATGTAGGGCGGGGCTTGATTTTGTCTGTGGGGAATGGATTGGATGGTTGTGGTCTGCTATTCATCAGAGAAGAGGAGATATGAAGATGAATGGGAAGTTATTTTGATTTAAGTTTACCAGGGAACCTGAATTTAAAAATAAAAAGATGTGCATGGATTAATCGTTTTTAATAAATACTGCAATATGCTAGCCTGGTTGAAACCAGACCATTCTCAGTTGTAACTGAGTTATGGTCTGGCAAAGCGTCATAGACAAATCATTTCCAGAGGGGCGTCACCAACGGACGTCGCGGATAGACCTAAACCCAATCAGAGCGATGAAGGAGATGACGTATGCAGAGCGGTGGAGAAACATCTCCGAGTGTTGTTCTTTGCTCGGTTTTTAACTAAAAGGAAACGTTCAAATCGCTTAAAACAGACGCGATAGCTGATTGGAACGAGTGATGTTCGACGGCGGCATCCATCTTTGTAATGTAGGCTACAAAATCTGCTTCAAAATCCCAGCACTGTCGTCATCGTGTAAAGCCCACCCCAACGTTTCTGATTGGTGCCGCGATTTAGGCGGATTGGAAATGGGCTTGAATGAGCTCTTTGCCAGACTAACTTTCAGAGCAAATCTAAATTTGCCGGAAGTTGTCTGGGTTTTCCCAGGCTAGCAATATGCCATAAAAAAATATGAATTGTCAATTTTGATTTCAGAATGACTTTAATACAATTCATCAGGTACAGCATTGGGAATGTCACTTTACATTACATTATGATGTTCCTCATAAAATTAGTAATTTAAAAAAAAAAAATTAAACGAGTTGTAATTGTTTTTATGATAATTGATAATATTATACAAATGCTGTCAGCAGAACTGAACTTCTATGGAACCCCTTGAGAAATGATTATCCCCTTCCTAAAAAATAAAGAAAACAACATATATTTGTGCATAAAAATGCATTTACTGTGTGGGAAAAACATTACAGGTTTATTGTAAAGACAGCATGTTGTTTACAATACAAAAACATAATTATTAATTATTAAACGAAATAATTAAAATATTCTATTTCATAAAAACAGTCAAATCAGTAATATTGTGAAATATTATTGCATTTTAAATATATTTGTATATCTCATGAGTTATAATATATATATTAATCTGACCATTCTTTAGAAATAAAGTGAATTAGAAGTCATATCAAATTATTACTATCAAATATCTTATGTTAACACATTTACTTACTCTATTAAACTTCTTAAATTTTGCATGGACCCCCAGCCAGAGCCAACTGGGTCCCGTTTTAAGATTTATGAAGATTTTGACTTTGTCTCTCTGGCTCCCCCTGCAGGACACGTGGATGTTCCCCAGTGTTGCTCTGTTTTACCCCAGTCTGGCCAGGGCTGTACTGGAGTACCGTGTGGGAACAGTAGAAGGTGCTCGAGCAAACGCCCAGCAGATGGGCTACAAGGTGCAGTTGGTAATCGGGCGTTGTTTTTGATTTATCTGTAGCTTTATGCACTCTTATATACAGTTTTCCTCCTGCCCATTTAATCAGGGATTGAAGTTTGCGTGGGAGAGTGTGTTATCGGGCCGGGACCTTTGTCCAGAGGAGATTTATGCACAGCAGGAGGTCCACATCAATGGAGACGTGGTTCTGGCTTTCCAGCAGTACTTCTACCTCACACAGGTAAAGAGGACACACTCATAAACACTCCTCCACCTGTACCAGAAATGCATCTTCCGTTTGTCATCCATCACAGGACCTGGAGATGTTCAAAGAAGGGCGGGGCAGTGAGGTGGTGTGGGGCGTGGCGGACTACTGGGTCTCACGGGTCACATGGGACCCTACTGACCAGCAGTACCATATCAAAGGTAAACCGTGACATCATCAGTCATGATGACCAGGGTTATTACCTCTAACTAAAACTAAACTAATTTATATAACTGAAATAAGTGTAAGTAGAAGCATTGAAATTACTAAATGGAAATAAATAAAAACTAGAACTGAAATAAAAATAAATGAAACCTTAGCAATAATATTTATAAAGAGCAAAACTTAATAAATTGGCAAAAGCACATGCCAAAATTACTCATTTAAAATTACTAAAATAGACAATGAAAACTGAAAATATAAAAATAAAAGCTAATTTAAAATTCTCATATAGTGTATATAATAGTATATTATACAGTATAGTATAGTACATAATAGTGAATAAATAATACTAAAACATTTTGTATTTATATCATATTACACCATGTTACAGTTTTTCATGATGTATAATTTTTTTATGGTACATTCAGGGTTTTAATTTTTTGTATTAATTAAAAATAAAATAAAAATTATATAATACATAAAATGAATATTATTCAATTATATTAACTTTTTTATTATACTTTAATATATATATTAGTATAATGCATAAAATAAATACTAATTAATTAATGAATAAATATGAACAAAGTGAAATTACACATTAGAACCAGTGTAAACTTGCCAACTCAAGTCGTGTTTTGATATGGTTATGAAAGCTTCTTTATGGGGTTTTGTTTTGTTTGTACATTAGGTGTGATTCCTCCTGATGAATACTACTTTACTGTTGACAACTCAGTGTTCACCAATGCTGTCGCCCAAAGCAGGTGTGTGTGTGTGTGTGTACATAATCACTCATACTTTTCGAATAAACCCCTAACTCTCAGTGCTAAACCTCAGAGCACTGATCCTGAACCTTTAATGCTACACACATGAATGATGCCTCGAATCGTGTGATAGATGAGCTGTTACTTTTCTAGGCAATCAATCTTATGATTTTCAGCCAGTGTACGATAAATCAACCAGCAAATCCCACAGACTTACGCTGAATTATTGAGGGTTTTTTTATTTTTAGAATGAGCCGATTGGAGATATTTCTCTTTCGTTCTCTGTGTTGTGTAGTCTTCGGTTTGCCGTGGAGTTGTGTGTCCTGTTAGCGCAGACGCCTCCTCCCGCATGGCAGGACGTCGCTGATAAGATCAAGATTCCCTTTGACCCAGAACTGAAGTATCACCCAGAGTTTGACGGCTACACGCAGGGTAAGATGCCCTCATCAGCATCATGTTCATGTTGTAGTAATCATATACGCCAGATTCACCTTTCTCAACAAGGACACCTCAGAAATTGAGTGCGGCGGGAATGAGTCTTTAAACCCAGAAATTAGTTCATTTTTGAACTTCCTGTTTCCTTGTCTCAAAGTCAATGGGTTTTTGAATGATTTAATTATTTTGTAAAATGCTTGACATAGGGTCTGTGGTCAAAAGTACACAAGCTCAAGACATTTTCATGTTTCATTCGACAATATAAAACACATGGTAATACTTGTCTTGAAAAAAGCCGGTTGCTAACAAGTGGCTAAATGAGACTACAGAGGTTGTCAGACGAACAGGGAAACTCATCTACACACACACACTAGTCCGCTTTCACAGCCTTGCAAACTATTATAGTTCAAACTTTCAAGGAAAATGTTTTGTAATAGACTCACTGAAAAGGTGTGAAATGGTGGAGACGTTGAAGTCTCGCAACTGTGGTGTACGTTCCTTCCTTTATAGGTTAACTTTAGCTTTTTTGTTCTGCTGATTGTATATAGGCTTCAAAATTCATAAAAGTTGTGAATATTATCCCAATGGACAAAACGTGTAAGAAATTGAATCAACAACTTTTGTTGCGCACAGAGCTTATTTTCTGCAATAATCCAATCTTGTGAGCCGAAATACATCATCACCGCAGCACTCTATACATGTAACACCATTTCTGAATATTATTTCTTGCAAAAGTTTACATTTGACATTTTCCCCAGGAAGTCGAGTCAAGCAGGCGGACGCGGTGTTGCTGGGATACCCGCTGACCCTCCCCATGACCCCCGAGGTCAGACGCAACGATCTGGACGCATACGAGGCCGTCACAGATCCGCTCGGACCGGCCATGACATGGGTAAGTCACACGCTATGCTTTACCCATCATGCTTTGTGTGGGGTGCGTGTTTGCATGGGGGTTATTCTGTAAAACCGGTTGCATAGCTCCTGGTCTTTTGTATGTGCTTCGTTAAATATAGAACCGTTTAACTCGAGGTGCCTTCAAAGGAGCGAGCAAAGATTGATATTCAAAAGTTTTTTATTTTTTGTTTTCTCACTATCATTTAGATGTTTACATCGAATGAAATGCCAACCATGACATAACTGGCTAGGTTTGCTGATAGCTCACACAAAAATGTCAATTCTGTCATTATTTACAACACAAATGAAGATGTTTTAATGAAATCTGAGACAAGCGGATCCAATCAGATTGTTTTCCTGTTTGTTCATGTGACCTTCGACATAAAGCCTATGATTATCTGTTTTTTTCTGCACGGTATATTTGTGTAAATATGTGTGTGTGTGTCTGTTTGTAGGGCATGTTTGCTTTAGGTTGGCTTGAACTTGGAGAGGCTGAAAAAGCCCAAAAGCTTCTGCAGAAATGCTTCAAAAATATCCAGAAACCCTTTCAGGTACGTCCCACCTCTCTCTCTGCAGAGGCCAGCGTGTCTCATACTATATTTGCATACTATTTACCTTATTTTTGCTACATGCAATATGTAAGTATGCAAGCAGAGCACATTTTATGGAAACTTATCCTTCTTTTTTTCAGTGCGATGAATCAACCCGAAACCTTATCAAACATGATTTCTACAAATTTAAATTCATTACTTGATTCCACAAAATATGAAGCAGCACAACGTTTTTCAACACTGATGATAATAATAATCAGAAATGTTTCTTGAGCAGCAATTCATCATATTAGAATGATTTCTGAAGGATCATGTGACACTGAAGACTGGAGTAATGATGCTGAAAATTCAGCTTTGATCACAGGAATAAATTACATTTTATAATATATTAATAAAATCTATTTTAAATTGTAATAATATTTTACGATATTTCTGAAAAAAATCATTAAATTAAAAGAATCGATGTTAAATTTAATTTCAATGAAAAAATATAGTGCCTCGCACACCCAAATCATTCTGCGTTGCATTAAAGTAAAATATAAACTATAAAATCCCACACACTACTTGATTAAATTTAAATAAAAATGATACATTTTACACAAATGGAATCAAAACTGCTCATTAAATGTATTTATTTTCGAGAGATTGTTGTTTCTGCCACAGAATAACAAAAATAAAAACTTTCATCTCATTTGACTTTTTAATCTCACAATTCTAACTGTTTTAATGCAATTACCTTTTTAGTTTTTTTATTCTGTAGCAGAAACAAGCATGATTACAGAATTAAATATGCAATACAGTATAATGAGTTTATGTGACAACACTGAAACATTTATTGATACATACAGCAATATTAAAAAAATAATAATAATAGGCAGTATGCTTTACACAGTATCTATGAAGCAGTCCTCTAGGACTGTACAGTGAGTCTCTGTGTGTGTGCAGGTGTGGAGTGAGTCGGCGGATGGCTCCGGGTGTGTGAACTTCCTCACCGGTATGGGCGGCTTTCTGCAGGCGCTGCTGTTTGGCTACACTGGCTTCAGGTGACAAAATCACTCCGAGCTTGACGAGAGAGACAGAGAAAGTGTCTTGATCACACACACATCTGTGTTGTCCCTGTCCTGTGTCACACAGAGTGCAGAAGGAGCATCTTGCCTTTGCTCCGCTGCTCCCACCGGGCATCGATGCTCTCCGCGTGACCGGTGTGAGTTATCTCGGCAACGAGATGGATTGGTTGGTAAAGAGTGCGGAGGTGAGTGTTTCAGTGAGGAAGTCTGGGAATAAGGAGCCGTTCGCTCTTGAACTTGTCCTGAATACTGGAACTACAATCCCACTTATTCCAGGTAATAAACTAACAGAAGTAAACTGACCAACAATATATGACGAATGGTGTTTGCTATTTAGAATAAATTAAATGTATTTGACTTGTCCACAGGAGAAACAGTGACGTTTCTACGGCAGCCCGGTCAGATCCGTAAAGTGAATCCCGGTTTTTACTGCTGGCCGGTCTGATGATCCACATCGCAAACGGCTGTCTGGTGTTTGGGTTTCCAAGTTTTGGAAGAGTTCATACTTTTTTTATAAACACTTTACCAAAACTTGAATAAAACATGTGTACACTTGTATATGGTATGTTCAATAAATACCACATTTTACTTTAATAACGCCGTGTGATAATGCCAAATATTTCAAGTATATTATTATTGTAACATGAATCACAGTATACTCTGGAAATACTGACAAATATTTACAATAAAACTGTTAATATGGTTTTTGTCAATTTTTTATTTGACCCAAATCAATAAGTTGAATTGAAAATCAAGTCTTCCTTTGCTTTGTTCACAAGTGCAATCTCATAGTTTGTAGTTTTATTTGGGTGATTTCCACCAAACACTTATAATAACACTTATAATAAATAGCAACAAACAAACAACAAGATCTATAAGGTAATATATTCAGTAATATACTGATTAATTCAATTGTTTTTATTCATATCAAAATGATTGATTTTACTATATTTTTTGTACTTTTGGGCACAGCATTTGATGTTTGTTTTTTAAAAATATATATATATATATCTTGAAATAACACAAACACAACAAACCCAAGCAGCATACATTGATATTGCAAGTAATTTAGAAATTAAGGATTTTTTTTTTCAAAGGTTTAAAGGATTTGAAATAACATTTTTCAAATCATTGTTTTTAAATACAGAAAACTTGGAGCAACTTTAAGAACTACATTTGTGTCGCTGCAAATCACGTTGTTGTCAATCGTCGTTTCGTGCTACGTCGTGTTCTTTCGGTAATTTCCGTTTTGATTCGGTAATTTCCGCTTGCTCTCCTTCCTGTGTTGATCCCCGTCCCCAGTAAAGGCACTCGGAAGCCATTATCCTGCAACCATTTTCTTTTCTTTTATACACGAAGATAAAATCGTTTTAATAAATCAATAATCTATTCGTACAAGTTGACTAAGCGCTTCTTGGATACCTGAGCATTTACAAATAGCGAGGGACGTGCGCCTCTCGACAATCCTTCGGATAATTTCGGCTGCTTTCGTGCGCCGCTGTTTTGAAATGGACGCGAATGAACCGGCGGCGAAGCTCGCGTTGCGCGACGCGTCCGACAGCGCGTCTGCGGGAGAGGCTGTGGGTTCGGATACCGAATCGGAGGGCGAAGTCGCCACGATGACTGTGATGGGAGAAGCGGGAAACATCGACATCGACGAATCACTGCCGAACCCAGACGATGCCGAAGCGGCTTTTGCGGGTCAGTGTGCGCATGCGCATCAGCTGATTATCGATTACAATGAAAATCCATTTGAGTGCACATTATACGTTTTTTTTTAACCCACGATAGATTTAATTACATTAATTATCTGATGATCAGCATAAGACTGGTTTAACCAACGTTAATATTATTATTATAAATAACTGTTGGGGAAGCAGCAGCTTAAAAGTAGCCTACAATGGTATTTTGTTTTAATACAGGGTGAACGAATAAGCAGTTTGCAAGAAAATACATTTTATTTTTAGGGCCATTAAGATTATAACATTGTGACTTTTATTATTTTAATTAAACTATAAAGTATTCATACATCATGGTAGTTGCATTTCCTTTGTGCTATTTTTTTCCACCATTATGAATATGCATTATGTTACTGAGAATCTTAATAAAGACTTAATTTTCTTTATACTAAATATAATTTACTGATTAAATAATACCAGTAAAAAAAAATTTATTATGTTTTTTTTTAATGTTATTAAAAGAAAAATCTTCTGCTCACCAAGACTACATTTATTTGATCAAAAAATATACATTAAAAACTGTAATATTGTGAAATATTTTATTTTAAAATGTAATTTATTCCTGTGATGGTAAAGCTGAATTTTCAGCATCGTTACTCCTGTCTTCAGTATCACATGAAATCACAAGAAATTAATACTTTAATTCAGCAAGGACGCATTAAATTAATTATTTAAAAAATAAATGACAGTAAAGACATTTGTAATGTTACAAAAGATTTCTATTTCAAATAAATGCTGTTCTTTTAAACTTTATGTATCACGGTTTCCAACAAAAATACTAAGCAGCAAAAACTGTTTTCAACATTGATCATAATAAGGACCATAATTAATAGTTTTTGTAATAAGAACCAATAATAATTGAGCTGCAAATCATCATATTACACTGTGACACTGAAGACTGGAGTAATGATGCTGAAAATTCAGCTTTGCATCACAGGAATAAATTACATTTTAAAATACATTCAAACAGAAAACATTTATTTTATATTGTAATAATATTTCACTGTTTTGAGAAATAGAAATATTTAGAGAAACTTTAGAGAAATATTTAAAAATCCTAATTCTGAACGTATGTGTAGTGTGTAGTATGTGGTTCCGCATTGTCATCTACCCAAAGTAATATAAAGTTTGAAACGGCTTCTGTTTTTTCTGCAGAGGTCACAGCCGTCACTGTTGGGGACGTTCACGTTCAGAGTTCAGACGAAACCGTTTACACATCCACAGTCTCCACAGCAGCGTCCATCCCTGAACACATGCTCGTAAGAGTCTCCTCTCAGAGGACATTTACATGACGAAGATGCACTGAAAACAGAACAGTTTTTCCTCTGTGTTTTTCGCGTACAGACGAAAGCGCAGTCTAAACGAATCCTTGTTCACAGCATAGACTGTAAAAAACACAGATCCACGAGAACGACTAAAAACGCTGTATTATTCATGTCAGGCCAGTAGGTGGCGATGTCACTTTATGTAAACTAAAGAAACACTACGCGCCTATGTAATACCAAAGCCCTGGTAATACGCATGCGCATAACGTCACTGTTTTCACAAATTCAGATTTTTTTTGTTTACACGGAGATGATAACGGTATAGTTTTAAAAAACTTGCACTTTGAAACCCGTTTTCAAAAGTTTGCGTTTTCAGGCCCTAAGAGGCGTTAACAAGACATCGTTGTCAACTAAAACGGAAACATTTCATGCGTTTTGGTCATTCATTTACATGACGGTGGCATTTAGTGTGAAAACACAAACTTTTGAAAACGAGATTCAAAGTGCACGTTTTTTTTTAAATGTTACGGTTATCATCCCCATAAAACTACAAAAACGTGAATTTGTGAAAACGGTGACGTCATCCGTATTACGTGTTCAGTCCATAGATGCGTAGTGTTAAAAAACTCACTAAACACACACACACACACAAAATAAAGATGCTTAGTGTTTATTTACAAAGTGACAGCAGACATTATTATTACCTAGCAGCAGAACACAGCGCTTTTAATCGTTTTCGCGGATCCGTGTGAATCGGGTCGTTTTGACTACGCGATAAACGCAAAGGAAAAACTGTTTACATCGTTGTCGTGTAATCGTGCTCTAACTTTCATTGAATTGATTGACTGATTTCAAGTTAAAAGGTCAGGAAATTGACGAAAAATACATGAAATCCTGTAAAATACTAAAATAGAAGAAAACCCAGATTTTATGATGGCGTCTGATGATAATACTATGGTACTTTGATATAAACCAAAACCATGGTTCTGTATGATTACTATATCTACCATGATAAAACCATCTTAGATGTCCAAAAATGTTTTGTTTTAATAATATTGATAACTTTATTGAAATGTATTATTCATCTGAAAATACGTGCATTTTTATTTATTGCTTTTCCACTATTTGAAGTATTTTTTGTCTTGCTTTTATTGAACCTCTTCAAATAAACCAATCCACAGTACTGTGTAATTACTATATTTATATGCCAAGAATAAAATAAACATATAAAAACGATTCATTTAACTATATTTTTGTAGTTCTCTTCTGGCTATAAAATATCATTTGACGTTTTTAACCCCAATTAAATGTCTTAAAAAAAATCATATATTCATATACCACAATAAAACCATCTTAGATGTCCAAACATGGTTGATTTTATGATAATTTCCGCCAACAACTTGTATACTAAATGTAAAGAAAAGGTATTTAGTAATATTTATAACCATATTGTAATGTTTTATTAATCTAAAAATGTATACATATCAAAATTATGCATTTTACTATATTTTTGTAGTTTTCTTCTGGCTGAATATATTTAGCTTTTTCACTTTTTAAAGTTTTTTTTTATTTTTTTTTTTACCTTTATTGAACCTCTTCAGATAAACCAAACTGTGGTACTGTTTGATTCCTATATTTATTTACCCTATTCATATATGATAAAACCATATTACATATCCTAAACAAATCATGGTAATACCATAGTACATTCATTTTTAGTTAATGGGTGAAGTAAACGTAAGAACAGATTTGTTTTGGATCAAAATAATAACGTCAAATGTTATATTTCTCCACGGATTCATGCAGACGGGCAGAACCACGCTTCAGATTGGAGACAGTCTGAGTACCCAGAAGGCCACACTGATCGTGGTGCACACGGATGGGAGCATCGTCGACGCCACAGGGCTGAAAGGCACCGCGACACCAATGACACCTGGTACGTTTCAGTTTTAGGAACTAAATTGTAAATCTTAAATTACATGGATTGCAGTATTTCTTTATGTGTGTCTGTTTTGCCGTTCAGGTCCCCAAACCCCGAACACCCCTCTGACATCTGGACACGATAAAGACGGCTCGAAGTACAACTGGGATCCGTCGGTTTACGACAACGAGCTTCCGGTGCGCTGCAGGAACACCAGTGGGATTCTGTACAAAAACAGGCTGGGATCAGGTACGCCACACGAGGGCGTCACACGACTGCTGAAACACACACACATACATGTGTGTCTGTAGACCTTATTCAGGGGCTGTGTCCGAAATCACCAGCTAAACACTCGTTCACTATTCCCTGCTTTACTCCACTAATATAGTCCACTTAAGGAAGTGATTGAAAACGAGTGAGTGAATTCAAAACACTGAGTGTGTCGGAAGGGCTGCCGCTTTTGCATAGTTTCTGCTGTTTAATAATCAATTTGAGGTTTAGGAAACTGGCAGCTCGAGTAGTAATGAAAAGATTAATCTTGAACTTTCTCTTTAGCA